GTTTTTTTCTAATATTTAAAATATAAAAGTTTACATTTTATATAAATTATATCAAACTAACTCTGGAAATAGAACTAGGTTTATTTTAGTGTACTTTATTTATATACTGCACATTTATTGCAAATACAGTTAGAAAATACTTTTTTCTTTGGCGTTACTAGGAAGTTGATAGCTGCTGCATATGCATATGAATTAAATGCTACCATACTTTCAGAATTCATTTGTTATAACGTGTGATAAAATGGGGTGGATTACACATATAATAGATACATTTTAAAGTGCTTCATTATCTTTTAAATATTTTTTCAGGTGATTATTGGGGAGTGTGTATTTTCATCAAATGTTTAATTCAATATACATGTATAAAGTAATTATAACCCCTTGAAAATAAATAATTTTATCAATTATACATTCAAATTGCAATAATAACATTATATTTCCAATATTGGTAGAGTTGAATCTGAAACTACCTTATAATAAATATTTGGTTAAAATACTGCAAAGCTAAACATTTCTCTTATCCACAAGTAATAACCTCCTTTCATGTACAGTACGTCCCCACTGATTAGAGTTATTTCTTAAATAATTATCTGTAGTGTTGAGTCCAGAGAAATGAGAAATCAAAAATACATTATCAATGTAGCTGTTGAACTCAATGTTTAAAGTGATAAATCCAGTAAATAACATGAAAAATCCAAGCAAATGCCTCATATAGACAATTGTCATTAAAATCAAACTGAATAACGAATTACATCCATTTTTTCTGGGTAACTTTATGATTTTTCTTACTCCATTTGACAATTTAATTTTGTCTGAAGGAATAAAAAGGCATTAAAAAAAATTCTGAGTAGTAACATCAGATTAGAGAGTAATGACAATACATAAATCATCAATCTGGCAAAGCGTGCAATGATGAATACATAAATCCAGTTGGAATAACAGCCTTTAAAATGAGAAAAAAAGTCAAAAGGTCAACTTCAGAATTAGAATCTAAAATCAAAATCATTTCCTGCACCCTGAAATGATAAACTGTATATATATATATTATTTTTATGGAATCAAAACAAAAACAGCATACTGGTACAAATTTGGCTGTGAGCAAATGAATTGAACACCACTCTGGTGTTCTGAACCGAGTCAGAGAGATCAACATGGCAAGTAAACAATTGAAATAAATGACGGCAAAATCTCAGAGAAAATCAGGTCCTGACTAGGGCTACCAGATATCTTTTAAATCTATGTAAACATAAAAGTTTTGCATAATAAAGAGTGACAGAAGACAATAAAGAGCTCACTTTCCTGTTTCGGTCCTTCCCACATGCAAAACAATTTATGGGGAGGTATCCAGGGACATAACCTATTGAGTAGATCACTACAACATAAGTTACCATAAAGCGCACTTAACATAAAAGAAAATTGTTGGAGAACTTGAAGCGAACTAAAGTACTTGGAAGTATAAAGAAGGGGAGGCAAGTAAACAAAGGTGATTTCACAAGGGGCAACCACATCCAAGAATTCAATCCTTTGTGAATGTTTGGAATACTTTGTGAGAAAAGTTTGGATGAACCTGCTTGGTTAATGGGGTAGCCTCCTGGCCACAGGACAAGACTCGAACCCGGACCACGTTCAGACTGAGTAAACCAAGAGGCCAGCTATAAGATGTAGATACTGTAGGGCAGAGGAAGAATGCTTGAGACGAATGTGAAGGGAGACATTTGGGTTCCGTATACAGTATGTAGCTAGTATTGTAACGATGGTGGTTAGGTAGAGCCGTGTAAGATTGACTTGTTGCTGTTATCCTTCCCAAATATCAGGTAACAACTTCAAAGTAATCAATCCATGTCAATGAACAATTCATAGTATACAGGTATCCTTTGCATTTGTAAAGGGAAAAGAGATATCCCAAAAGAGGGGTCCTCAATAAGAACGTAACACATACTGTATATAAATTAATATGGATTTAGTATGCAGCATAATTACATAAAATATTCTTTCAATTATTCACCAAAAGATATGGATAAGGACTAAATTAAACCAAACAAACATCTTCCCATTACTTGAATGGGAGGAGGAGAGCAGATATACAGGTACTCTTTTCAGAATCTTTCAGTAATTTGTTAGAACTTTTTCCACTTTCCCACAAACCTTCAGTGGTTTTAGTGGAGGAAAAAATAGGATGGGAGTATTAGAAAGCCTCCAATCACAAGTGTTTTTTTATCTTGCTTATAATGGATAATAATAAGTGGTATTGTGTCTGTTTGTGTCAAATATGTAATAAACAATATTTTACAACAGACTTATATTGAGCAATTGTAGCCCTGCAGTTGGTCAACTAGGAAATTTTAACAATTATAAATTGTGAGAATTATTTCTGACCAGGTATTTGATGTCTGGTCAGTAACTCACCAATTGTTCCAAATGCCACACAAAGCCCCTAAAACTGAATGGTCCAGCAGAAAATTGGACATCTCATCCTCAACTTAGTCAGCCAGAGCAGGAGGGGTCCTGAGAAATCCAATGACAGTCTATCCTGCCACTGTATATGATAAAAAATATTTGTCCTTCCCTGTATCACAATAAAATATATTTAAAACAAAGGCACTGGTGTCAGACTCATAGACTGAGACCCAAGAAAACACTGCAGTGATTGTTGGACCTGATGCTATATTATTTCAGTTAATATTTGAATAAAAGTTGCAGAAGGCTGCACAGGCTCTCCACCCCCTGACTGAAAAGTCACCCCTGTGATTAAATTCTCCACCCTACTGATTAAAATCCACAACACTGAGGAGAATATTTTGTATGAGCTACAAACCCCATGCAAGGAAGAATTTCTGACTGATGCAGACAATCCAGGAACATTTTCCATAAGATGTTTTAGATAAACTGAAAATAGCCAGTTTTGCTCCAGTGCAGATTCTTTTAACCGAAGAAAATTGGAAATGTTGTTCTTTACAAAGTGCTGTCAAGTGTTAAGTAACATTTATACATGTTGGTAAATATAAAATCTCTTTTGTATAAACCTTTTTAACATAACACACACAATTTGGAGTGTCCTGGTCATCTAAGGCTCAACAGCCTATTAACCTGGAAAGACTTATGGGATTGGCCAGGTTGTGAGTGATCCAGATTGATGCAAACTGTAATGTTAGGCCTTGGAAAGTCCATGGTCTTTTCTGTGCTATTGGTCAGTATCTAGTAAATATTTTATTACGTTTCCAGAATGACACAGTAGTGCATCATATACAAGAGATTAATACTGCTCCCCAATGCCAAGATAGTTTGGAGTTCTTCAATAGGCTGTTCAAATGCAACTGCTCAAAAATAGTTTAAAGCAAATGAGAAAAAGGTTATGAAATGGTTATCCAAACAATAGACCCAGTGCCTGCACAAACTAGTTACAATTGATTTTAAAAGAATTTCCATCTATGTGTCAAATATAGACTAACAGTGGCAAGCTGACTTAGTGGAAATGTTGAGATGATCAATTATTGACTTACCTGAAGGTGAATAGAAAAAGTTTTGTCTCAGTGATTAGACAAAAACTCTCCGAAGAGGAAAAGCACAAGACACCTGTTAGTAAAAACATAAGCTGAAAAGAAAAGAAAAAAAAACAGAATATACAGTACTATGAAACAGCTTTAATATAAAACATGCACAAATAAGACTTCATATTATAAATAAGACCTCATTTATAATATCATGTTCAGTTTTAGTCACCATTATCAAGAAAGCTATTATTATGCATAGATTACAAAGAAGAGCAACAAGAATGATTAGAGTCTCAGTGGATTGCTATATGCAGACAAGCTAAGAGAGCTAAATCTCTATAGTCAAACAAAAGAGTTTGAGAAAAGATTTAATTAGATTAATTAACGTACTGTACAGTAAAAGCTTTGTTATCTGGGATCCACTGGGAATAGAATGTGCAGGTTAACCTCATATGGTGCTTAATGAAATATTATTCCACAATGGTCAGAAATGAATTATAGATGTGAAATAAGTATTTAACCTTATAAAACCTTAGAGTCAGAAATATCAGAAACTTTAGAAATAACCTTAAAATATTGTTCTGTACTCAATCACATTTTGTTTTGAAGCTGCTTGTGGAAATTCAGGAGCGCAGTATTGTAAAGTTATCATATTATAAAAAAAAGTCTTTACGCATTTGTACACTGTTCACTTTTCTGGACTTTACTGTTTACCTGAGAAACATACTTCATAATTTAATTTAAAATCATGTTTATAAATGAACACCACCAGAGTTTTGTAGTTAACTTAAAACTTTGGTTATATGCAAAAGTACAGTGTTTCTTTGTTACATTATCTGTTTGAAAACTCAAATTTCAGATCATATCATTTGTTACCATAGCAATTTCTTAATTAACACATGGAGATTTTCCTCATCTTTCAAGGTACTTTATAATGTTCAGTTATTAAACATACCACAGAGTTCTTTTTAATCCTCAGATTAATGCTTTGCTTGTAAAACCTGTATTTTGATCCATGTTTGCTTGATTGGATAAATGTTATTACTACTGGTCACCGTCTCATACACATTTCAACATCCTTTGTGCTTTTGATGCTGGTTAACATTGTCAACACAAATGCCTATATCTTTTACTAAAGTAGCTTTTTAAAGCTTGGTGCTCATTTTATTGGTATAATTGATATTTGTGCTACCTGCATGTAATAGTCTGCACTTCTCCACATTGAATGTTAACAGCCTGGTATATGTTCTGAACAAAATTCTGCAGTGTAACATGCAAAGCATCATTACCTTTGATCTGAATACGCTTTGAAATTTGCAAGAGAACTATATCAGAATGTTGATGTTTAACTTATTTAGAAAATGGAAAGATATGAGCTCATAGAGATAAATATACTAGTGGTTTTCATAGCTTGTTTCTGAAAGGAAACCTCAAACAGGACAAGCCTGCACATACTGAGATTAGTAACCTGCCATTTTATTTTGTCACATTCTTTCTAAATGTGGTGCACAAGGATGGGATTTAATTATTAGATTTCTCCCATTTACAATATTTTTACACTTTCAGGAGACTTGAAAGTGCTTCAATAAAACTCAGACCTTGACTATTTTCATTACCAATACCAATGAAATCAAAAGGGGCACGGGTGTAATGCACATTTATACAGTATGTGTGTGAATTCTTAGTTATGTGTGTGGTGCTTTTAAGCAGAACAGTGAACTGGACAGTTTTGACAAGCCTATCAGATAGAGGAAGCTTATTTCCTCATCTTTTGATGTGCTTGGTAAAATAGAAAACAAAGATGCAATATGATGTGTGATTATAAAGGCTAACCATGTAGCTTTGCTAAAAAAAAAAAAAAAAAAAAAACAGCATTTTTTCCATCAGCTATGGCATCCAGCTATACTGCATGGTACCTCCAAATGAAACTAAAGGACCGCCAGGGACAATTACAGAAGGATCCCAGTGGTAAGTACAATTTTGGATAAGTACAGTATAGTTAAAACAGTAATGTAACATACTCTAAATGGCTCTATAGCAACCACTCAATGAGCTACGTAAAGTTTGACTCTAAAGTCTGCTTTTCAAATTGTAGGGAATTTGTATGGTTTCTGAAAATATTTCTGTAAATATAAAAACTAACTTATTTCAGTGCCTTTCCTGGTGCATTACCTCCAAGTGTTGAAAATCTGTTAAAATCAGGACAATATGCATACTAAAACAAGAAAAAAAATGCAAATTTAATTGCGAGTCTGTCATTTATTTATTTGTAGCAGAACAGAATTAGGTAGACTTTTTTTAGTGGGTGTCGGATTGATACTTTTGTTGTGTTTGGCAAACATCTTGTGCAAAAAACTATGAAGTCTTCAATGTTTAATAAATAATTGATTTATATCAGGTTGACATCTTGATGCCTCTAAGGAATTCTGTTAGTGAAATAAAAGTGTTCTTCAGGAGAGAAATTCATAAAACAATGGCAATATGTACAACTGGTTTAACATTTAAATTTAGCTCCCAGTTAATATGTTGCACTGGTTTTAACAAATCGCCTATTTTGTTCACTAAATATCTCTTTATCTGCATGCATTTAAATAGACACCCCAAACTGTAGACCTTTTGCTCAGGTTGTTAAAATGTGTGTTAAAGTATACAACATGAAAACAGATGCAAATTCGTTTTTTATTAGATGCAAAACACTCAATGCCTGAAATAATCCATAAAAGCTATTTTGCTATTAATGTTCTTCTTTTTAATTAAAAAGGTCTTAAATAGAATTAACTATTCTATTCACCATAGAATAGTCCATCCACCTAAGTATTGCTGCGACATGTCAAACACAAACTTATTCAGATTGTAAATACTGCTGAGGCCTTTTCTATTCTTAGGATTGACAAAATGTGTCCCTCAGACGCTCCACTTTCTGGTGTGTGGTCGGAGATACAGGAAGCAGCCTGGGGTGTAAATTTGAGCAATAGAGGCGGTTTCAAACCGTATTACTTCTCCCAGACTGAAACTTCAACTGTGGAGGAAACCACAGACTAGAAGACCTGTCATGCAAGGCAGAAACAATATGCATCACATTTGTTTTTACTTCCATTTGCAATCATTCTTTCAAATCCAGTTCATACTGAAAAATACGTCATGCAGTCAGCCTAAATAAAAGTGAATATAAAAATCAAACTCTAAAGCAGCAGCACCTCTTTAGGCAGTGGAAATGTCAGGTGAATGTCAGAGAGTAAGGGTGAGTAAAAATTCAGACTTTAGGAGAATTCTGATAAAAAAAGCATGAGTGATAATATACTGTACATGTCACACAGATTAGCAGGCCTCTTTATCATAAAAGCGCAGAGAATATTAACTAGCTTTTGCCAAAGGATATATTGCGTTTCTAGAGATTAATGCGGACACCCACTTGTGTGTACTGGTGTTTGTTTTCTTTTCTCTGATCATACAGTATGTTCTTCATTGCCCCATATGCACTTGCAACAGTGTTTTTTGCTTTGGAGTGTACATACTGAATATTGAAATAACTGATATGTCAAAGGTGGTCATTTACAACCTTTTTATAAAACACTTATTTATACAGATGGATATTTTTAAATTAATGTATAAATGTAATATGCATGTTACTTTCTGCCTAAGATATTGCGATTGTAAAAAATGTCCTCTTTTGTGAATGTTACACAGTAAAGACATTAGCTCCACATTTTGTACATTACAAAAGCTAAAGATGAAGACGTGGGAAATAAATAATTCTCATTAATGGACATGCGTGTATGCAAATCCTAACAAACTTGTTTGTCAGCACACGGTTGATTTTCCTGACTTGGCTAAAAGATTTCTTGGTAAAAATAAAAATCTTAAGTTGGTAACATGAATCTCACAAACGTCTAATTGTCTGAAAAATTGACACTTCTTCATTTAAGTCACATTGCTGAGTGAAAGAACAGACCTCAGAAAATTTTTGCAGTTCAAGATATGAAAACTCAAGCTAGCTTCACTTCTTCTTTCCAAAAACTTCATTTATGTTACTAAATATCATAGCAAACCTGTGAAAATATCGGAGTGATTTATAGGGCTTGTGGGTTGATCTGGTGACTCTAGACTGTAAAGGCTGTGGAGTGAGGCACAGCCACAGCAGTACCAGCCCTTGGGCTTCATAAGTGAGTCTCCGAGTCATTGGCTCTCGGCAACCCCAACATGGAGGAAACCAGAGTGAAAGGCAATGAAGCAGAAGGACTGTGGATCAAGGACAGGCCAGAATAAAAAGGCACCGGTACTGAATGCAAGACAAATAAAGGGGAATCTTCACATGAAAGATGACTATTTTGTCTTAAATTTTAAATACTTTATTGCTTCAAGACTGTATGCTGAAACATTTCCTTGCGAAGGTTTCCTTTTTTATATTTAGGTCCTTTTTTACCATAAGACCTTTACCACTTGCATCACTTTTCATAGTTTCTCATTTTATAGGATATAAACTCCTTTAAAATACAGTATGTGGTCAAACAATTGGGAAGTACTATAACTACAGGTAGCTGAACAGAATCATCCAGAGCAGTGGCTCTGTGGCTAAGGATTTGTGCCTGTGGCTGGAAGGTTCCCCGTTCAAATGTGGCTGGCAGAGGAGAATCGATGACTTGTTTGCCACCCTATATTCAAGTGGGATGTCTTGCCTACCAGACACTGTTCTTTTTCTTTACCATCGAAAATGAACAAGCCAACACTTGGTTTGGCAACACTTTCATAATGTAACAATGCTGCACAAGGAGTAAAAAAAAAGAAAACAAAGTTGAACCATTCACATATTTCACGCACAAGATTCATGTTAGAGGACAGTAGCATAAAGTAATGGAATACAAAGTGTGTGAAGCAGGAATGAGGAGTCAGAACTTGCCACCATTGTGTTAGTGCAGATATTTAACAAATTCAAAATGGGAAGGTGTGAAATTGTACAAATGTTAGAAATAATGCAGAACTTTCCATAGGGTTGTTGATGAACACCATACAGTAAATTGGAAAAATCTTCCTTCCATGCCTCTAGCATAATTGTTGTATTAGCATATATTCTGTGTCAAGCATTGTGTTGGATAAAGCTTGTATTTCAATTCACCATTTACTGCCATCTGCAGGAAACTAATTTCTAGCAGAGCCTGAATGGTGACCCTGACTGCATCCATAACATCTGTCAATGGAAAAAAAAAAATGACTTGCTCAAGATACAGTTTAGGAAGAAACTGTTTTAATTCCGTTTTTTCTGAGCAGGGCTGTAGGATAGAATGGCCAATGTTTCCCCACACTTATCTTTTGAATATAGTATGTATAGATGATAAATACTGACTATTTTAGGATGTTAGCCCTTTCTGGGCTGCAACTTTCATTTTTAAGGCAATTGCTCCACCTATTGTTTGTTTGATGTTCTGTCACTATCAAATGGAAAAAGTGTGAAAATATAAAATATTAAATAAAATGTATTAATAATGTTAATAATAGTCTGTATGATAGAATATTTTGAAATTTCCCACCATGGTTTTCTTAAGGTACATCAATTGCTATAATTAACATTGATCATATCTTGGTATTTTTGGTAAATAGAAGTTGTTTTGTTTTATATCTCTGGTAAATTGGCTCCCATCAAGACAATCTATTTGACAGAATAATAGGAGCTGTACCTTGTATTTTCTAGTTTGACTCAGTTTAAAACTTTCTAGTTTCATATTACCGCATTCTTTTTCAGTTTTACTAGTATGACCAAAAATAAAAGGACAGAAATTGGAGCTTAAATTATCCAAAAGGCAACATTCTTGGCAAGACAAAAATGAATTAAGCTACAGATTCATCTAATTGGAAAAATACATTTTATAAAAGATTTTAAAGACAATAAAGGGGTAATGGACAATTTAGAAAAAAAACATACATAGTGAGCACTTGTGACTGTTCGTCATTATATTACCACGCACCTAAGAAAATAAACAACTTAAGACAATTATGTAAACTTGATCTAAGCCTAATATTAACCACATTTACATTGTAATGTGGAATTTGATGAATGCTTAACATTAGAATAGTGAACACTTTAATATTAGATGTTGTAGCAAAAGTTGTATTACTTTCATTACCAAGGAAAATGACAAAATAATTATGCTACAAGAGAAAAGGAGAGCCAGTACATATTTTTCTGTCTAGTGGCAATTATTGTCCTTATATTGGGATCCAGAGGAAAACACTGAACTATATTATGATATCTGTGCATTACTCTGAACATCTTATTGTGTTCAGTGTATGAAATTAATAATGAGATGTCCTTGCTAAAAGGTTGGATAAAATAAGCAAAATATTAAGACAGTGCAATACATTGCTGTGTTTTTTAAAACAGCCAAAGTGTTGTTTAAGATGAGATCTGAGGACAAACCACAAAACAGGCAGAACAGTACATGGCAAAATGTTTCAAAACAAAAGTTCAATATTGTGATAGGAGTAAGAATAGGAGGAGAAAGAACTTGTTGCTATGGAACCTGGACATTTGCCCAGTGTTTACTAGCTTGGGTTTCCCAGGCTTATACCCTTTTTCTTTTGCCTTCACCATAAATTAAGGAGTAAAGATTGTGTTCATCTCCAGGAAAGTGAATAAGAATCACACCATTTCCTGCACCCACTTTACTGAAGGCATTTGTTTCTTTCATGGTATTGAGCTTGATTGGCTCCATTACAGAGCTTTGAGCAACCAACTTGCATTGAGAGTAAAAACCCTATGGGGAATGTCAGATTCTTTTGGGTAATTTAAAGAAAGGAGACTTTTTTTTGTGGGGGAACCATTCTTGAGTCACTCTATGACTCAGTTGTAAGATTGAGGGATTGTGAGAGAGATTATCAGTATCAGTGTGTTTAATCTCATAAACATATTCTGATTGCCCGACTGACAGAAGTAAGGAGTCCTCTGCCGCTACTTGTCCATTCTCCTGCAAAAATATCTTGTTGCTTTGCCAGGCAATACTTGAGAAAAGAATGTGTATGTGAAGTTGAAATCTATTAAATTTGATCAGTACATTTATAAAACAGACTTTGGTAATCTAACATCTATTTAAAAAAAAGCAATCAATAAATTTACAGAAATAAATGCACACAATTGTAATGTACACATATTGGGCTTGATGACACATGTACCGAACATTAAAATGACAGATTACATTTAGTAGTTAGCTTCATGGGTGTCATTTAATTACTTGCATTTTTAAAACGGCAGTAGTTCTCAAAGCGAATGAAACATGCTTTTTAATTAAAAGCATTTAAACTAAATGCTGTATCTACCAAGTACGCAGTATGTGCATCTCAGACTCAGAGCAAAGAAATCCCACAATCAATTGAAGTCCTAGAGTAGCTTTCTCTTACAAAACATGCTTTATTGCAGTATCGAGCTCATGTTGGGGTGCGTTTGTGCTAATGAAAATGGTTTCAATGTATCCATTATTTATGGTTCAGCAGCAGCTTTGAGCTTGTCCTTTTAGCCTCCACTGTTATGGTCACAGGGCCATACATCATGCTGCACACAATGTTTGCCATTTCCTCATCTCTAGCTCGTCTTGCTGGGCCAATCAGGCTAGGAGTCATGGGCCGGATGGAAGGATGTTTTCGTTTCTCATTCATTAAGGAATGAAGTAGAAATTAATGAAAGAACGTTGCTGTACATTCACAGAAAGTTTTATTTTTAAATAAAACAGCCATGTGGTCAAAGCCAGTGCCTTTGCTTTTTCCCCAAAAAACCAGTTGGATGAGATCCTTGGATCAATTAGTTACTAAATTCCATAAGAACTAGAAGAGCCAAATGTCCTCCTCTCATTTGCAAGCCTTTGTTTATTCTTACATTCACGTGTCATGAAATACATGAGTTTTAGCGCATTTAAGAACCAAAAACTATATTTCATTAGCTGTACATCTCATCTAGAGAGAAAATGGAAACTAATATTTTGCAGGTTTAGATATTCTAGTGTATAGGCTTACTTACTTCTAATGTAAATGAATTTGAATAAAAGAGGACCTGCAGTCCCAATTTCTCAGACCCGTTATTAAATATCGGTAACAAAATAGATTGACGTTATAGAATATTTTTACAAATTTAGAATTAAGCACAAATTGGTGAACTTTGTGAAAGTACTGTAAGTCGCCCTGGTCTTGCCACAGGCAAGAGTGAGAGCTCCCACAAATTGCGACATGATGCACTCCCTTCCTGCTCACTAGTCACTGTAATGAGCAATGTAACTTTGAATCACAGAATATGGCAGTGCCCATACCTAGAAATTTAATTATTTTTTATGATGGAAAGTGGAGGTTTTACAAGTGTACAGTACATTTTACATTTGATGTGGTATGAAATGCATTTATCAATGCTAATTCTTTCTAATCCTGAAATATCATTGCAGTTCCCATTTAACTTGAAGGTCATGATTTTCATGGATTTCCAAGTCTGCAAGAATGTTTGAAATCTTTTTTACAGCAGTTATGAAACAGAGTCCTTATGTGTTAAACAGACTATTTGAATTGCAGGACTTACTGCAATATAGCTATTTTTTTAAGATATCAGGATTCATACTGTACATTCAATATTTGTTTAATTTTATGCAATACTGTATAAGGGGGTAGAGTCTCCACTTCCATTCAAAGAATTGTTGCCACAAAAGTGTTTTTTACCATTTTTATCACAGGGGTAAGCTGCGAGTCTAGCACTTTTACACCAACTACGAGGAGCGCTGCCACCTTCAGCCCTCTGGCTCACTCTTCCTCCAGAGAGACTCTGCTTTCTAGAGGAGGCCTCTCCACCCACAGCTCTACATCTTCAGAAGCCTCAAAAGAGCCAGAAAGCTACGCAGCTGCATTGAAACAGTTAGCTACACTGACCAATGAGCCCCAAGGTACAACTTACATGTCTAAACAGTTTATATTTTTCCTACAAAGTTGTTTGCATCAACTAAAGCACCCAAATGCTCGGTCTTCATAAATTCAACAGATGGGATAAGAGATTTAAAACTGATCTATGCATCTAATCCCGCCTTTATAAGATTTAAAGGCTTGTACATCAGTGAAAATACTATACATTGTGAGCTAGATAGCAAGTGTAGGTCTACTTCTAAAAAGGCAGGATATACATGAGAATGCGAGGGCTTCAATGCACTTAGATGTACAGTATTTGGGTATAACAATCCCTAAAGCAACAATACTCATGGTATTCTGGTACATCATACTTAAAGTATGTTACAGTATCTACTGCATTGGTTAGGACTTAGTATCCAAGGCAAACACTACTGCCGTATCCATGAGAAAGATATTTACTTTACCCCCTTTAAATTCAGTTCTCCCAAAAACATTAAATGGTAATAACATTGTTGTAGAGAAACTACAAAAACAGAAAAACCCAATGTGTTTTATTTTTGTTTTTGTTTCAGAGATTACTTATGCTGGTGGCAAGACTGCTCCAGACACACTTAATCTCAACCCTCCCAGCAGAACTCTTCAGAGAACCCTTGGGAAACCCATGCATGCTGCCAGATTTACTCAGACATGTCCTGAAAATGATACCTGGAGGAAGGACAGATCTCAGGTATGGCCAGTTTGGCAGCAGTCTTTTTTATATTTAAATCTGGCAATGCACAAGTTGAGGTTCGCAAGATGCAACAGAAACCCAATTCCTTACCATTTAACTGTGCTGGACTTCATTGGCATTAGACTGCACAAAAAGCACTTATGAATAACAGAATTAAAAACAATGCCATCTTCATCTAAGGGAAACTTAGATTTTAAATTAATTTGATTTAGCCAAGCTGGATAGTATATAAATATATAATTTAGTCAACATCTCCTAAAGATGTTCAGAAGAAGCCACCACTGCGTTTTTCTCATAGGTTAATAACTTATCTCTTCTGATCTTTGAGCAAGAGAGCTACAATACATGATATTCTTGCAGCAAGCAAACCACAACATAGTATGCAATCACAAATAGCAAAGAAACTGACCTGTGAAACAAGTTGACACATTGTAGGCGAAGACTTCCGTTTCTCAGATAGTAGTAGTACCATCACGAACGGTTCTTTCCGGGCCCTATGCAGACGACACGATCTGGAATGGTGAAGGAACATTGGGAGGAAAAAAAAAAAAGTCATGCAGAAGGGAGTATGGAGAGAGGGGGCGTGTCCAAGGGGTGCAGATGTCCAGGGAGAGTGAATCCGGGGCGAACAATCCATGAGAAAATCCAAACGGGTAATCCAATACAGAAGGTAAAGTCCAAGGCCAGGGCTCCATCCAGGAAATAAAACCATGAACCGGGTCGGGGAATCAGGAACAGAAGGTTAAACTCATAACGGAGGCAGACCTCCCCCCCAGACTCTCACTAAGCAGAATTCAATGAGGAACGAGGAGTGACTGGCTTTTAAGGTGGAACGGAAATAAGAAACAGGTGCAGGTAATGGGGCAGAACAAGGAAGGGCTGGAGCACCCTTAAGAGGAGGAGTAGCGATCGTGACAAGTACCCTGCTGTGTTATTCTAACATTAGGCAAATTAACTCCACATATTGTAGCATCGTTTTTTTCTGTGCCAAAACCCAAACAAGATTCTGTGGTCTATGACACACTTTCACGACACACTTTATTGGTGTGTATCAATGTGTATGGTTCAAAAACAAAAACATACAGTATCTAGTGCAACCTATAGCAGATAGCTTTTTCCCTCCATGTCCTTTCAGGGATTTTGTATACTACAGTAAAGAACCATCATAATTAAAGCAGTTGCGATATCTATCAATCAGGTCATGTCCTTTATTGGTTTTCCACAGCCATACCTGACTAGGCATGTTAGAAATAATCTCCCTAATTCAAGTTCCTGCTGGGTGAAACATGGAACGTCCACCTCTTCTTCTCTTCCTGCTCACTTTTTTCCACGAAGCACAGAACAGGATGCAGGATTCTCTTCACTCGGGTGAGTGCTCTTGAGGATCAAGGATTTATCTAAACCATACATAATGAAACGTTCACTGTTTTTGAAACATATAAGCTGGGTGGTAATGTATGATTATATGATTGTTGAAATTGAGGGCAATATTGAAAATATTCCTCCTGTGAAAAGTGAAATGTTTTCCTTTTTTCTCATTGTAGTGTTTACAGTAGAGGTAACATGAAATGATGCATTCATGCTGCTTTCACTCATAATTCTTAAGGCTCACAAATACATAGCACAGTGGAAGAGTCACTTTGTGTAACACGAGTTAAGACACAGTGACCAACTCACCAAACTCGCCTAACTCAGGCAGGGCGTTTGTTGCAGTGTTTGAACTGCGCATCATACAATAGGTACTCATGGGCAAAACTGAAATGACTGCTTAGATCTGGAACGTTTTAAATGGTAAATTAATGTAGTTCAATGTAACTGCAATGAATTAGAAATTGGGGAAAATCATAATCATTTTAAATATCTCACTCTTTTGGGCTAAATTGAATTTTGGGCAACCTGAAGATAAGACTCTTTGTTAATATGTCGATAAAATACTTTTTTGATTACAGGATTTCATGAAAGAAGTGATATATTTTTCTTATTTTTGTTCATTTACCCTAAATTAAAAATAGAACTAAAGATCAATTAAACTGAAGATAGTCAAAACATGTGACAGGAAAATGCTTACTGTCTTCACTGTCTCTGATTATTTTAGGTGTTTCTGCATGTACTGTACTGTACAGTCTGCTCTGTGCTGTGTGGTTAAATCAAAGCTCTCTGCTCCGATACCTAAAGTATCAGTATAATAGCTTTTGAAAAGATGTCTCAAAACTATTTGCCAGGAAAATGTAAACATTTATATGTTCTGTACCTCAGGTTTCATTTTCATTTATTGATAACTGTTTTCCATTGAATGTCAAAATCTCTAATTGCTGAATGACTTTACAGACTGATGTGAATAGGAGCTCAATACAATAATAGCTTTAAATTTCTTTTTAATTTTAATTTTCTCTTAACCTTATGTTTTAAAGATATGTTGCATCTTTGTGTAACACTACTTAAGCTGGAAAAACATTTCTCTATGTTTTTCATTCTTTGCAGTTTTCACCTCTAGTTTATAATTGCTTTCAGGAAATAATTGTCTCTCAAGTGAAAATCTTTCAATCCCATTTAAAAAAATGACTAATGTATGGTCTTACAATCAGTTGTATTTACATCTTAGTAAAATACTGTATCGTACAATGACTCTGCAGGATACTGTATGTCATATTACAAATGGCAAATTCTGAGCATTTTAATTATTTTAAAATACATTCCTGCCAATCTCAATGACTCCAAACTTGTATGAAACAAAAATATTTTTAAAAAGTCATTGTGATGCATAATACATTCACCCCAAATCACAAAAGTAATTTGCAGATGAGACTAATGACTGAAGCTAAAATAAATGAGTAGAAGATGCACATACAGTACAAAGGAGTACAGTACATACAACAAAGACAAATACAAACTATTGAGCAGAGAGTTTTGTCAGCAATCACACAGGGATTAATTTCAAGGAGAAGGAAAGAAGAAAAAAACATACCATCTCATTGTGGTTGGTTCTTCATTTGGAGCTTTCTTTGAGTGTACAGAGAAAAACATAGTGTGTGTTTGTTCTAGTTTTCAGAGAACATTGTCTCAGAGTATACCAACAGGAAATGGTGCTAAGGGTTACTTCACTGGGTTTCATCCATATATCAGCAGAGACATGATCTGTCCCCTTCCATCTTATCCTTGTCTGTACCTGGACTCAACCCCTTCAACATCAGACTACTTCCCTGGTTTCACTCCACGGCTCTCTCTGCATCCTTATTTTTACAGGTTAGTGAAAGTGACATTTATGTTCTTTAAATAAAAGAAAAAAGAAAAACTTTTGTTATCAATAAGGTGGCAAGAGGGTAAGTTTCTCTGTTTCATGCTGTTGTTTAAGGGGAAACTGGTTAAATTAGGGTATCCATACATAATATAAATTCATACATCACACTTTATAGTTTAATATCTAATATTACCAGAAAGCTGAATGTCACGTTGACACCCAGGTGACTATGCTGGAAGTATAGAGTACATTGTGAGAATAAGAGCTGGTACAGTAGGTGATCAATCAGAGAGCCATGGAGACATTTAAGAGACCCAGAGGAAACAAATTCTCAGGAAGTCAAATACACACAGAAGGCATTCTGACTGGAATCTAGCAGCCTTAACACCCATTGTGCCACCCCTAGTTTATAACATGACTATTTATTCTTATTGATCAGCTTCACTGACATATAAAGGTGAAGAATGGGAAGAACATTCTTCTTGAATGTTGTAGAATTGTGATGTTCTTTGACTAGGACAGGCCAGACAATCATCTTCTCTCATCTGGAATCTGTTCAAACTTTAGAACTGTAACTGTAACCTGACGTTTGACTTGTTGGATAAAGTGTGTTCATTTTCTACCTAATAATATAAACATGTACAATCTATCTATTCCTCCAACATTATCTTATTGTATAACAGTCCTTAGAAATACAATTAACTAGGTGAAGAAGAGGGGACTGGCAACAGTGACAGAATATTTTTTCTCAATGTAAGCAGACTTAAAAAGTACCTTTAAAATACAGAACATTCTACAATAGCATGCTGTTGTAGATCACAATCTGCTGACTACAGGACATTTTCCTCAGGGTTAGTTTACAAGTGGAGGCAAAGGGAAATGAGACTTACCACATACTGTAAGTGACTGCTTAACACTGTATTTTTTTCACCTTTTGCCTGACTCTTTGTTATCCTTTTACAAACTGTGTGTGGATGGCACATTGCTTTGAAGCAATGGATACTCATTTGTTGCATTTTTAATGGCTATCAGTATACAGTATATAGTCTGCAGTTGTTAAAGTAGACAAAAGAAGATCTTTTTCATGTAGACTAAATTTGATGTATTAAGACTTTTTCACACAGACTAACGTGGAGACATAATTTCTAAGCATCTCATACCTTAGAGAACATGAGAATGAAAAGTATAAAGTATATACAGTGTATATGGAAGTACTACAGACAATTACAGGGTGATGCCAAACTAAAATGTAGTGTGCATGGGTGTATAGTATAAGTTAAAAACAAACCTCAAAAGATAAGACACTCCATGCCTTTTGTAAGACAAATCTTATAAACCGTTTTGAGATCGGAATCACATGCCAAGGTATCTGTGAGGTATTTGAGAAACCATAGCCTCGGTATTCATACTTTAAGATGTCTCTTTCATAGGAGCAGCAGAGAGAAAACATCAAGCCACAGGTCCAGAGAAGATAAACATGAGAATCATTCTTGCTGTACAACCCTGACAAATGCAGGAGACAGTGAGCTGTCACTAAACAGAGAACAAAAAAGACTCAACGGACAGAAAGAACTAAAAGAGGAAAAGGACCTAGATGTTGCAAAGAATCAACTGCTGAGTCACAAGCTTTCTTTCAACAAAAGCAACAAATCTCCAAGAGTTAGCTATGGAGGACATAATTTTCAGAGACTATACCATGCAGAAGATCAACATCAAAGAGAATGCAAGTTTCATTCATCAATGGTGATAGGTAAGGTATTGTTCCCTATTCTATGTTTAAAAAAAGTGTTTTGGGGCTGTGCCAAAAACCTCTGAAGGTCACAAACTAGGCTGTACTCTTACTTTTGCCATAAACCGTTTAACCAATTATAGATACTTATATCCACTTACAGTGCATCTCTCTTAAAAGGGTTTAATTTTTTTTCAGACCCTATGAAATCTGTTTTGCCTGAGAGAACAACTCTCACAACAGAGGCTGAGAACACCATTGGTTTTGAATCTTCATCAACATCCTCCTCTTCATTACCATACAGAATTCATCCTCTATCTTCTCCTTGGCCCAGTGAACAAGATCTGAATTTGAATATCTTAAGACATCAACATAGCAATAAGGAAGTCATCCCAGACCACAATTTACTGGAAGCAAATGAAAACCCAGCCGTAACAATGTATATGAAAACTGGTGAAATCAGGTATGTTAAAAGGTATGAATACTAAAGTAAATTACACAGTTTATATTTAGAAATCACTTCTTAATGATGTTCTCTTTTCTTGAAATATCAGAGACATTAAATTTTGAGAACACTTGTGTGCTGACACTTTTTTGTTTATAGAAAGTATAGAAATAGGATTCTGATTTAAGAAATAAAATATTTCTCACAAATAATAAATGGGTATTAATTGTTCAATTCTATTTGATCTATTCTATCCAAAGAAATTTACAAAGACTAGAAGGTCAACGGTTTAACATAACTTGCTGCTGAATTCACGTAACACTGTAGCTTTCCTTCCCTTAGCACAATGGAATTTTTAAAGGCAAATGGTATCATGGAATAGAAGTAAATAAGAAAGCCTTAATTACGAAATGTTAGGAGAAAATGGTTCTGGCTTTGGAACAACAAGCTCAATTAAAACAAAACTTAATAGATGCCTTTTTCAATATGCATCAAAACAAGTTCCAGAATTATCTTCACCATTGTGAATATCAAGCAAGTGCTGGCCATTAATTATCAAACATCATAACATAATACAAACATTTTATTGAAGAATTGAGCTATAATGGAATTAAATTGTGTACATGCAAAAATAAGACAATATATTAATGCTTATTTACCATGAAGATTCAGAGATCAACTGGGTAATATTTATTTAAGTCTTACCCACCTTTTGTGGTGGCAGCACACTTATTCTCACCTCTCAGAAGACTTGGGTAACAACAGCTGTATCTACTACTAAACCAATGTGTATCTATTTCCTGAACAAACTAAATTCACTAACTATAGCTAGATCTCAGCAATCTTTGTTGATTTAATTTTTTCTGTTTCTTAATAGCCCACTTCACAAGGCAAAAGGAAACAATTCATTCAGTATCGGCACATCTTTCCTGGCGCCCTCAGAAAATTGCCCAAAAGAAACATTTACAGAGCCAATAGACTCCACATGGGTGTTTGATTTAGGCAGATCTAATGTGAAACGGGACAGGAATGAATTTGTGAGGCACCATCTGAAAGGCAGTGCTAATATCGCCAACTGTCCAACGACACACATCCCAGAATTTAACACATCAAAAAATAGATTAACTGCCTTGCAAAAGAATTATCATAACACCTATCTGGCACAAGACCATTGTGGATTTGTCTCCATGCCTGACTTGTTAAGTCATATCCCTTATTTTCTGGGACCAGGAAATAAAAGCACTAAGCAGAATGCAAGTGGAAACCACAGCAATCCAAGTGTCCACTGTTCTGAGATACATAGCCTGGATTCATCAGAAAAGACTGCAAAAACCAAAGTTAACATTGCACAGGGCCGAAAAGCCCCAGCGTCCAACAACACTGGTAGCAGAGGAAGCTCTACTAGCCACTGTGAGAAACACAGGAGCCCTCTGGAACAGAAAGCTCTTGACAGGGAAACGGACCACCTGAGAAAAAACACAGATGAGCCCAGGAAAAGAGGTATGCTTGGCTGTGGACACGAACCGTCACATGTCTTGGTAGTGGATTGCTGCATCACAGTGTTCAATCTGAACTATATAATTTAACATTTTGTAGGATCACGTAATCATATACTGTAGTTCAACTGCACTGTTCTTAAGTTTAATTGGTAGTCAGAAGTGATGCATAAATATACTTTATTGAAATAACTGTAGTAACAGTAAAATATAAAGGAATATAAATGAACTTATTTAGTATTTTACAGTATGAGTACTCTGAGCATACTGAAATCACAGCTTTCTACCCTCATTAAGATACCTTGAATCAGTGCAGGTTTACTCGATGATGCTTCATTTTACATTGGTTGTTTTATTAACATTTTATTTCAATCACCAGTTATTTTTTATGTCTCTTCCTATTCCGACTTGAAAATTCTAGCTGCGATGAAAACAATTATTAAAGAGGTTAAATCTCTCATTTTTTCTTCAATAGCAATGTGTTAACTGAGAGACAAAGAAACCATTTCCAAGCCATGTCTTAAGTAACAGAAGTTGACTTCAGTGAAGGCAAAATACAGTTTTGTTCCTTTTCAGGTATACCATCACACAGTGAGGTTTCTGCGGATGCGAAACAGGCAAATAAAGAATTATTGCTGAGAGATTTTAAACATCCTACTCTAAAAGCAGGCAGTCCACACTGGGTAAGAGGACCTGCCTTCTTTAATATCAGCCCCACTGGCCACATCACCGTCTGCAAAAATCTAAAAATAATAGTATACTGTAAATCATTTTTGAATGATGTATGTCCTTGCCCCCTTACAAAAACACCTAAGATAATGCACAAAGCTAGCCTGTACACAAGGACATAGTATTCCTACTTTTGAATAGTCCGCTGATAAAAAGCAAAAAATAGAAATTCTAAACACACACAATTCATTGTTCCTGTAAATGAGCATTCTCGTAGCCTTTCCCCAGTACATGACTTCTACTATCGTGTCGCAACAGGATAAATTCCTCAGTGGCACCAGACAGGGATAAAACCCCAGACCCTGGCAGTATCAGCACTTTTCACATTATAGCCATTTGGCCCCATAACCTGAGAACCCATACATGATTTTTTTCTAATGGCTTGAAATAACATGCACATTTAAAAAAAGGTTCTTAATTCAAAATCCTTAATGAAAACCTATACATAACCATCATTTTAGTTCCTCACGGAAACTACATGAATCATGACTATACAAAGTTTTAAAGGGTAAAAGACCAGAAACAGTTATCCATTCAGTGATTTGGCATACCAGTGAATGGAATGATATGGTCATACAAAGACTTCTTATTTCATAATCAATATCCTCACAGAATCAAGGGGGAAATGTTAGCTTGGGTGGTCCAGGATATAAGGGCAAAGGTTGATTCAACTGCATTAACAGCAACTAAACACCCAATGAGAAAATTCTTCAGCTGAGTTCAGCAGGTTTTAGTATCTTTTATAATTTCTAAAGACTGTAGATACTGAAAATGCCAAGGACAAGACATGGGTGGAGAGAGAAAGGTTTGTGTGTGCCTCAGGGTTTCACACTGCCAGGCCCCACAACCAGTGTTTTGGAGAACTGAATGGTGGCCAAACCTCAAAGAAAGAACAATTCCGAACAGTATTGGATATGAAGCACCATGTGTCTTCTGAAGCAGAAGGTAAATGCAAATTTGTGAAGTACAACATTACCAAAAAGTACTTAAGCAGTTTGCCAGCTTGTTTTATACAATGAGCATGAAATATATCTAGAAAAGTATAACTCTAAATATTTAGGCATGTGTATAGAGAACATAAAGACAATGAAGCTCGATACAATTCTACACTGAAGAACCACAAGTGTATATTGCCCAATGCTGGGGTATTCCCAACTCAGAAAAGGGGAATTAATTTTTTTCCAAAGAACTGCTTATTAAGTAGGTTAAAATTCGACCAAAATGAAGAATGGCAAGATCAGCACAACTACTTATGAACTACAGTATGTGGGTTTTATGGACTGTGTAATACAGTATGCCAATTGCTTTGAAAGAAAAAAAAACAGTACAATATACGTATGAGTCTAAGCAAATACTACAAATGTAGAACCTTAACCTAAGTGCTCTTTTATATGTTTGAACCAAGAAGTGTGAATCTTATTAGAAACATAAACTTTTATTTTTTCGGATAATTCTCCCCAATGCATCGTAGTAAAAAAATGTTTTCTTAATAAATCTGAAGTTCAATTATTTTAAATCTCCTGAAAGCTTTACTTTAAATCATGGCCCTACTAATCTAGAGCTCACTTTTTTGTGAAAAGATTTTTTTGCCTCTTACAACTGGATGTATTTCAGACAGTGATGAGTCCAGATCTCTGTCACCGACTGAAATGGCAATTAAGAAAACAGATTTAGGTTCTTCCAGCTGCTCCAGAGAAAATCAGAGTAGCCACACGTTTTCTGAAGGTGAAATGGATTGGATACCCAAATGGCAAGGAATTGACCACGTATTTGAGACCTATCAAGAGTATACTGAAGGTGAATTAAGGACCACTGCATCATTTTGGATATTATTTTACTGAATAGCATTTAATTGCAATTACAATGTATGTAAAGAAGAATCAACTCAAGTAAAGGTCAGCAGTACTTGTGAAGTTTCTGTGTTCTGAATGTTCCATTATAATTAAGCACTCAATCTGGGACTACAGTGTTACTTTTCTTGCTTTATCTTATTTTACAATTAGCTTCTATCAAATAGGCTAGATGTCTTTTCTAACCTTTCTATTAATCTATCTTTAAAAAGTGTAGAAAGTTTATTTTCCTGACAGATAATTTCAAAAATCAATTTTACAGTTCTAAAGCATGTTCTGTATAAACTCGTGTTTAAATAGAAAAAGGTTTTGCCGCCACCAAACATGTTGTTGACACTTAACAGTTCATTGAATCATAAGACCCATGTTTTATACAGAAAGAAAGCTAGAGGAAAGTATTCTTCAAGAACAGCTGACAATGCTAAAAGCGAAAAACAAAGAGTTGAAATTTACAGCAGACAGTCTAAGAGGACATCTGCAGGTAAAAAGAACAATAATAATTTTGCATATTTCCTTCTATAAAATGGGTTACATATTGTTAAAGCTAAGATGGACATTCAGAATTCTGTTCCAAGTAAGTAATTACCAGGCTACATGCATCTGTATTATTAATCTATTTTCTAGGATTACAAATGAATTTTTTTTGCTGACATTTCTCATTCAAAACGTTATTTAAATATTTTTGATTAAATATTTTCACATTAGCCTAGCATTCACAATGTCCTACAGTGAAAATCTATAACTAAATACATCATTTAAGTGGTTAGTAAAATTATAAGGAGACTTGTTTGTCCTTAAACCAAATAATTAGTAATGTTACTGTATACAAGGTACTGTATAATACAACTTTTCGTGATAACTGCTCATAGTTGTTCTTTGTATTTTAGGAACTGGAGTCAAATAGACTGGAATTGGAAAAAGAACGGAAATGTCATCAAGCAGCCCTGCACTACCTTAACAAGTGCCTCACATTTAAAACTTAATTCACTTAATTGAAATTCACTATTAATCACTTAATTCACTTCAAATTAACAGATCACTTCCAATTTGGAGACCAATTTAGTGAATATTTTACAGAGAACAAATACAATTAATTGCTCTATCATTTTGACAAGAGTATACTAAAGGGCTCCTCACAAAATGCATACAAGAATATTTGATTTCCAAGAAAACATTAATTTAGAAATCATAATACTTGTAATCCAAGGGAATTCAACCCTCTAAAGTTTATTTTAAATGGGGTACCATCAGCAATTAGATGTGCACAAAATCACATCACAATTGCTGCTGCTTTTTGGGGGTGGAAGAAACAAAGTAATGGTATTGGATGGGACCATGAAAATTCTCAGGCTAGAGCTTTAGGTGACCAATGTTGGAAGCAATTTAAACTATACATCTGAAATATACACTTAGCACCAGGTTGCAGAAGCTGTTTCTGGGATTCAGTCTCTTTTCCTCCATAGAGGTTTGACTAGCAAACATATATGGCCTTTTGAACTTTGAGGAACCAAAACCATAGGTTTGCAGAATGACATCTCTGGAACAATCACAAGTTACTATATACATAAGTCCAAGACATAAATCCCCTGAATTTAATGCAATTTAGTCCATGAATGTGATCCTACTGTGCAGACCACGAAGACCAGAAGATGTCCTGAAATACATTTGATAAAATATAAAACTGTACTATTTTGTACCAACTTTTGTCATGGAATTAATATTGTGTTGTAATTAAGGCTTTATTACCACTGTCGTACAGTAATCCAGAATGTTTCCTTGCACTGAAGAATCTGTAGATTGTGCTGGTCACAGTTAACTTGTTATTCCCTTTGGCTAAGTAATAGAATTAAACTTTTGGGAATTCTTATGAAAATTCAGTTTTTATTTCTGTTTTACACTATATAACGCAGGGGCATGCTCAGTATGGAGGCAGAGCCCTGTATTAAGGGCGACAAGTTGCCTTAGCAACCACTGCTGACCTGGACAACAAAGGACGAGCACAGCTGTGGGGACCCTTTAAGACACACTGAGCACCTCCCCAGCTGGACGAGCAGACCCCCGCAAGGGGAGGACCATTCAACTGATAGTCCTGGAGTCCCGGAGGGGATTGTGTCATTTTATTATTTTTCTTTTCCCCGTCCCACCATGCATCTCCACCGGGGAAGGCTGACCTATTCCTCCAATGTCCCGCTGTGCATCCTACACAGGGACAGGCTGAGTTTCTCTTTTTGTTTTATCCTTGTGCTCCCTGCTCCCGTTAAATAGCGCAAGTCCAGTCTGGATAACGCTGTGCCAGGCGGCTTTTTTACCCCAGACTGGACCCTGTTAGGAAGGCTAAGTCCAGCCTGGATGCTGTGGTGCTCAGTGACACATTTTTCTTTTTTGTTTTTTTCCCTTTTTGTGTTTTTGTTTTGGTTTTTGCTAACCTCACACCAGTGCCTTAGCCCCCTCAGATGGGGTTTCGACTTTTACCGGTGCATGCCATGGCTCCTCCCACTCCTACATTGTTACAACTGTTATGTGCTATAGAAGGCCATCTGAGCACGTTTATTCAGAAACAGAGCCCCAGGGAATCAACAATAGTACTGCTGTGCACTACTGCATATATGCAGCTCCCATTCACAGGATTCATTATTATCTGCACAATCAAAAGAGTTTGAACAACTCCCGTTTAAAGGATTTGTCACTTACTCACCTAACTGTTGTTTTAAAAAGGACGATACACACAAGACCAAATGATGACGTCAACTATATTTCCTCTGGAATGTAAAGCATACAAATAGGAACACCCAAAGCTGCCATATACACTGTTGGTCACATTTTTAAATCATAAAAAGTAAACAAAACATATACTGATAAACTGCTTGACTTCATTGCAGGGCTACAGCACAATTTGTACACCTGATACATTAAAAAAAACCAGTTACAACGCCATGCTTACTGTTCAGTACACGGTGCAGAAAGAATTGACATGATCACCTCACAAATTATTTCTGACCATTTTTGATTATCGCTGAGTTTCATGGCTCAGCTGGAACACCCTTAAAAATCAGCAAGCAAGTCAAACATTGGCTACTGTGATGATTCTTGAGAGATGTAAACATTTTTCTTTGAACTTAAAATGATAGCTCTTGACCTATATAATGGCACAAAGAACACACTACAAAGACCATTCAATGAAATACTTAAATAGCCCTTACATTACATACTGAGTTCAATTACAAATTCTTGGTCTTTATTTCCAAAACCTATCTGAGTGCAGGCCCAGAATATTTCTTGCAGTCCCAATACATACATTCTCTTCAAATGCCACAGTGTAAGCATGTTTTAGCAGTCATATCATGACTTTTCTGCTTGTCCTCTTTCATTCCCTTTTTCTCCATTTATTTTATTCTGCAGTACAGTACCTAGATTTGAAACATTTTAATCCTGTGCATCAAATAACACAACTCAACAAAGCAACAGGCAACAGGCAACACTGTAACAGACAATTTTTGCAACGTTAATTTATGTTCTACAAAAAGGATGCTACCATTACAGAAGCAAACAACAATAAAGACAAAACAAAACTTTGAGCTGAATGTCACCTATGGACATTATCACATCTATCAGTGGGCTACCGTACTGTAACTCTAACTGCAACATATACTTTCTTTTTGTTAAAGTTCAATGTCCACCAATATTTTGTTTTCAAATATGGCAATAAGTAACATGATGCTGAATCCCAGAAGAATCCCAGCATTCTGTAAAAGGAAATAACCACAATGACTAAATCCATGATCCCCAGCATCATTGTGCAACATTTCAGGCACCTGCAAGAAAAAAAAAATTGGTTTGTTACAAATCTGGGACGCTCCGTTGTCAGCAGTTCAAGACACAATCTATGGAGAACACAGTCTCAGGGTTTGTATTGTAATGTGCCAGTACTGTGGACTCTCTCCTCAAAACCAATCTGTATATAATGTTTTGTGTAATCACGAATTAAAAGTTCTTTAGAAAATAACATCTGAGCTTTCAAATTGTTGACTATGGTTTTACTGGATTTTTTATATTGTTTATTTTTTTAATTTTAATTGTTGATTTTAAGATTTTAAAGGGGATTTAGACATATATTAACATTTCCTGCACACAATTACACTTGATCATAGAAAGTTGTGATCAGTTGATCAAAACTCGCTTGTCTTATAAAAGCAAAACTCTATAATTCCATACATGAGCAAATTTCTGAAGAAGTCAATTTAAAGTCTTGACCACAAGAGGTCAGAGTAAACTAGTACTTCAGATTTGAATCAGAATCTATTCTGTTACTCAGAACTCTGAAATAACTGGCACATGCAATTTCTTATCCTTCTGCGGTATGATGTCTTTTAAACCTTTAGGCTATGAAAACTTACTTTTTTGAAAAGGAAAAGAAATTCTGCATGAAGTTATAAAAAGGCATTGTAATTTTTAAAACTGCAAACAGATATTATAAGTGTTCACAGCATAGCAAGACTATGTAAGTGTGATACTATTGCTCTTAAGGTACACTGAACCTTAACACTACATTCGGTACATTCGGAACAAGAGTTCCGAATAGAAGCTGTCGTGGACACTGTGAAGCTTTGAGCATCAACAATGGTGACACTTTTAAATTGCCAAAGGAATCTTAAATGGATTTTAAGATTACCAATACCTCCAATACCTTGGAGATGTAAGTAATTATTAGTTTTTGCTTAAAATCCCACTTTGTGTCTACAAGGATGCACATAAAGGGAGGGAAAATTCAGCAGCTGAAGTCTACCAAAATGTCATGTTTGAACTCATTTTTTAGCGAAGAAAGGAATATGGTCACATACATTAGCCCTTTTAAAAATTAACATGAAAACACAATCTCTTTTCAGAGTGACCCACACCTGTTTCAGTATTTGTGCACACGTGTTTAAGAATTTCTTACCTTTCAAAAAGCAAAATCTAAATAACAAATAACTAAGTCAAAAAGTACCTTTCCTCAAGATCTACTTGGCAAAAACATACTTACCATATCCACAAGAGCCACATACATAAACAGCCCTGCAGTTAAGGCAAATATCCACATACAGATGTTTTCTGCATAATGTCCGATGAGAATCCCTGTGATCATGCCAAGGTAGGCCATCATGGCTGAAAGAACATTATACAGAATGGCCTGCTTCACTGTCATGCCTGCCTTCAGCAGCACTGCAAAGTCTCCTGCAAGTCACAAAGAGATGTGATGATCATTAAAACACAATCTATTCATTCCTTAAAGTTTGATCAAACATGGTGTAACAATATAAGGTTGTTACTTCAGAGAGAGTGATACAGACAAGTTTCAGCTTCTTTTGCTGAAGTAGATACAACCAATAAACTACCTAAGAGTAAAATAAACACCTGAACTCATGCCTTTTCTTAGGGTACTCAAAAGCATTTTCTAATTGAAACAGAAAAGCTATATAAAGCTTGCAAATGGTTTGGCCCCATGTGATCTCAATTGTACTACAGTACGTCTGTGCATTTGGTGTAAAATAAGGAGACTGTCCTCATAAAAAAACTGACCAAATCACTGCATTTTCAGAGTATAATTTAGTCCCCCCCAATTTTCATCAATATGTCTACATATAATGGACGTTTTTATTAGTCTAATGTGATGACAGTACTTCATGAGTAGCAAGGTTATTCAGAGCTATTACACATGAAGGATTCATAAAAGAAAAACTGAAAATTACATCTCATTTTTCATTTTCTTTTCACTGCCACAATCAATTTATCACGCAAGCCAGCTATGAAAACCCTATGTAAGCATGCATCACCCATGCTGTCGAGTCAATTTCTTGAAAGTGGGTTTTGAAATGGAAGTTATCTGACGATGCCCTTACCTAACTCATGAGGCAATTCGTGACAGAAAACTGCTACTGATGTGCTAAGCCCACTGGAAAGCCCTTCAGTAAAAGCAGCCCCTGTGGGAAGAAGATGAACAGAAGATTTAGGGTCAGGGGTCAGTCATTTCAATCCCCATCCATTAGGCGTCGAAAAAGCTAATTTTCTTCGTTTGCAATCTCTCAAGTGAATTGTAATGAAATTCCAAAAGTAGATGGGGAACCTGGGATTGGAGTCATAATTCATTTTGCGTCATTAGGAAAACAAACATTTGCAATTTTACTCTAAAGTCAAATAATGTCACTGAATCTGTGGGGTATAATAAGTAGCTACTGAAAAATAGCATTTCAACATTTATGTTCTTATGTTTATTAAGGTACAAACAGGATACATTCAGCATTCTTCTGGGACAGAACTCAATCAAGGCTTTTTAGAAATTTTGCTCTTTCTCAGTTCCCAATACATACTGTACATTTACTGTACAAAGGATATACTTTCATCTTTCATGAAACAAAACAAGCCCAAAAACAGGTGGAAAAGAGAGATGGCTTTAATCATCTGCTTTTAAAAGTCTAGGATTAAAAGAAAGCCCCTGATAACACTGCACTGTTTTTCCAAGGCTAAGATAAGTTACAATTTGCATAGAAAACTACCTCAGGTAGACGCAACTGTTTTGGGTCAAGAAAGTTATTTTCTATGCAAATTTATATGCATTTGAATAGCTCTTCTCCATGTTGAATTAAGAGAATTTGGATTTATAAAGAGATTTCATAGCCCGCACATGATTTTTACTTTGTCACAAAGTAAAACAGATTAACTATGATCAGACCATCACTGAAGGCGCACAGACCACACCTTTTAGTAGTAAATAAACTAGGTGGGTCTTTGGCCAATAGCAAAAAACGGGGCAGTTCTTTATGGAAATGGTACTGAAAGAGAAGGGGAGAGCAAGCCAGAGAAAAAGTATTACCTATAGCTAGTCCATCGCTGAAATTGTGCAGGCCGTCCCCCATAATGACCATCCAGGCCAGCGTGGCGACGCTGGCCTCTTTGAAGTGCTGCCGGGAGTAGCTGTGGCTGTGGCTGTGGGGGTGGTGGTTCTGAGAGTGGTGGTGATGCAGGATGTGGTGGTAGTCATGGTGATGGTGGTGCATATTGTCGGCCTGCCCCACCGTGTCGTGGAAGTGCGAGTGGCACTTGTTCTCGCAGCCTTCGGCCATGTACTCGCTGTAGCCGTCCTGGGGCAGAGCCGGAGCCAGCATGACCTCCTCCTCTTCTGGGGTGCCCTGCCCGTCTGACTTGGCAGCGAACTGCGACTGCTCCGTGAACCCCTCTGCCCTGCTGGCCTCCATGTCTGGGCAAACAAAAAACAGGTTTCAGGAGAGCTCACCACTCATAGTAGGAGAAAAGGGAGGTGGGAGATTTGTCACAAGGTGTATTTTAAGTACATTTACAAGAATAAAGAGATCTTTATTTTTCTCAAAAAGAGAAATTTAATGGATGAGAATGCATTCAGCTCTAATCTGTGTGCTTTAAATATTTTTTTTTATCTACCAAATAACTAGAAGAAAAAATCTGTTGTAAACTTTAAAACTCAAATTTTCCACATATTGAAATAATATCCAATATTTTTAAGGTTATTTAGTTGTATATGAATGATTATTTCTTTAATTTATGGGACCTAAATTTAACCAGAAAAAGCGGCCTGCACCTCCGCCCACACACACTAGAGGGCACTTATGTCCTCTCAGCTCCGAATTTGCAATCTCTCTTATTTTCTACATACCAGAGAGTGAGAAAGGAGGCAGCAGGGGTGCTATCTCTGTATGTTCTCCCTGTATTCACGTGTATTTCCTCCAAGTGCTCCGTTTCAGCCCATAGTGGAAAAACATACTGGTGAGTTAATAGGCTCCTGGGAAAATTGGCACCAGTAGGTGCAACTGTGAATATGTATCTGTGTGACTGCCCTGCAATGGACTGGCCAGTATAGGCTCCAGCTGCCCTGCAATAATGTATGAATGGATATTAGAGAAAAGGAGACTCCCATGGATATTCAAATCCATTCAAGCACATCTGTTCTTTGAGTGTTTAAAAGAACAGCCTTAGAGAAGGATGCATGTTAGTTTTAAGACTCCAACAGACAGAAAAGTGTTGCTTAAAAAATTAAGCTTGGTAAACAGAAAGATTCCTTTTGCTCTTTGATCAGATGTTTGACCTAATAACAGAACAGGATAAAGAGACATTTCCCTTTATTCTGTAAAACAGTGTTGTGAAAAAAGTCTGATCTTTAAGCCACCTGATAGAAAATGACAAAATTCACAAGTCAGGATACTAGACCCAAAGACTAGCTTGTCACACCCTAAACTGGATAGCAGAAGCCTCCCACAATTCCAAGATTTTAACAACCAGAAAGCTGTCTAACAATTACAGCACCCTTGTTAGCATCACATTAGAAACAGATAGTAACAAAATCTAACTTAATTTAGCAAACCACAGCTTAGTCAGAAACAATCTAATTCTAGCACTGTATATGACCGGGCCTTTCTATCCTAGTGCTGGAAAACTAATGTGTCTGCAGTTCCCACACTGCTTTTAATGACCAAACTGGCATGTTAGCATCTTCACTGGATTAACTTAAATACTGCTTCCAGCTCTTCAGGTGCTGATGTTTTAAAAACACCAAGACAACCTACACACCGTCTCTCCAGAACCAGGATTGGACAACCCTAGTACAGTGCAAGTCTAATTATGACCTTTATATACAGTAATTCACACCTTACTTATCTGCTGTCTCACGTTGTATTTTATACGCTATCATTATGTTTTTGTACCCTACAACTGTCCCCAGCATGAGATAACGGTTCTTGGCAGTTTTAGGATGAAGTTACTGCACTACTGCAAAATAATCCTGACCTCCTACAAAGTCATCTCTTTCTTCACACTTATGAGGTTCTATTTTGTATAAGACTCTAATTACAATTTTAAATTTACATGAACAAAATACATTTAAATAACTATGCATCTGTAATGGCAATTTTAAGTATTACAGTAACTGGGGCAATATCTGGCCAACACAACAAAATAGTAGTTCTTATTTGAATTAGTGAGGTATATAGGTATAAAATCATAATGAATCATAATTCAGTGTTTTAAGAAATTCAAATTTGAAGAATAAGAACATTTTCAACACTTCATATTTGAATGTAATACACTTTCATTTCGTGAAAAGAACATTCTTTCAGGCTGAAGTTCTTTGTTTAATTTTTTAAATTTAATTCTTTCTGGGTACTTTTTAAATTACTAAAGCACGAAATAAGAGCTGAAACATTCAGAGTGTGTTCCAACACCTTCACATGACTTAATGTCCGGATTCTCTTCTTCTGTCGGAAGCTTGTCAGAATTTCCATTTTCTTCGTTCTGATCCAGTATCTTCTGATTCTGCTCAGACAATGCGAAATAAAACAAAATACATTATTAACTATTGACATTTCTACTGCCAAAAAACCAAGAAGACACAGCTTCTGTTTATTGCACTGCTATCACTACTATCTCTTTATAGTAATTGTACAGTAATATACTGTAAATACACCATAGGGTCTCGACATTCGTGAGGATGCGCTGCAGAGAACTATTGCGAATAGCGAAATTCACATGACTAAGTCCTCTCCTATACAATCACATAATATACTACAATATACATTATGTATGGCTAAAAGACATAAGTAACACTCCCTTACAGTATATGATAATTAAAGCACTAATGCATCGGCTTTAAGTTAATTAAAATGACATAGCTCAACTAAAATAAACAGTAATCACAAACATATAGTAATCAGCTATAATAACATATATCCCCCCACCAGCAGACACCTCTACTTTTTGCCTTTACACGTCAGACCATGTTCCATGATTTGGATGCCCCACTGTAATGAAAAGGGCAATAAAATTACAGTGAGCCTATCACGTCATCTCCAGCCCCATTCCCCACGCTGCCCACATAGAACCAGGCTCCCCTTCACCACCACCAATGTGCAGCATCCACCTAGATGACGCGACGGCAGCCATAGTGCGCCAGAACGCCAGAACGCTCACCACACATCAGCTATCAGTGCAGAGTAATGTAGCCAATTCATAGAGGGGGAATATTAGGAGGCCATGATTGGTAAGGGCCAGTTGGAAATTTTGGCCAGGACACCGGGGTTACACCCCTACTCTTTTCGAGAAGCGCCCTGGGATTTTTAACGACCACAGAGAGTCAGGACCTCGGTTTTACGTCTCATCCGAAGGACGGCGCCTGTTTTTGCCATCAAAGACCCCATTGTCCAGACCCAATCGCAAATAAGAAAACTTACAAATGTCAAGACCCTATTGCATATTATAGCACATATATACAGTACATATATTATAGCATGTTCCAAACAAAATACTCTGAACTAATTAAATTAAACATTACAATTAAAGAGGTTTAGCACAAACATGTTTTTTAGATATTTTTTTCCTGGTCAGGACAGTTACCATAGAAGACCAGTGAGTCTTAACTACTGTAACCAACTTGTCTTTTGTCTTTTAGACAATGCTGAGCTGAGGGTGAAGTTCAGCCTACTGTAAATCATGTCAGCCTGTCAGAAACTTGTCTGAACTGTAACAGGTCACTAAAATATTATTAATATTAAAATATTTATTAAATTATTTATTAGCATTAGCCAGATTTAAATAATAACTATAAAGAGACTTTTTTTGTATTTTGATGTTATTTCTATACCCTCAAAGCTAAAACACCAAAAAATAACATTTTCTGAGCCATGAGGCGGCAGCATCCATTTGATAAATACCATCAAAAACACAAGAAAACTGCCTTACAATCTCTGACATGAGACACAATAACATTTTCATAAAGATTACATTCCTGCTTCCATTTCTGAATTCATTCATTCATTTTATATGAATCACCTGTTAGTCTGTGTGTTTCTTTTATAGCAACGACTGAAATGAAGAGACTAGAACTGAAAAAAACAAATCCAAGAATCAAAGATCAATGGGAGAGCTGTGTCTGAAGGAGTCAGAAACATTTAGAGACCTGAGGTTTACAGAAGATGGCCTGCTTGAACTTCTCACCTTCTGTTTCTTTTCCTTATACATCTTCCCCAGCGTGATGAAGTGCTCTATGAGGAACATGAAGTAGACTCCACCCAGGGCAGTCAACCCCTTCCACACCGAGTCCAGACCACCCTCTTTGTGGCCGTGGTCATGGTGATCATGGCTTTCATTGGGTAAGTGTTCTCCATGGTTGTGTGGATGAGACCCTTGAGACTGCAAGAGAGTACAGCTGGGATTCAGTGGTGATACTGCTACAAAACTCACTGCGTTGTGAGTTTGTCATTAGAGTTGTGGGATACACAACTAAACTGGATAAGCAATATATTGAAATAATACAATTTTAATTGTCATATGTTTAAGAATATTAACAAAATATACTGTGGAAAATCCCCAACAGCCAATACATTGCTTATCAGCGTAATTATCAACACACTTAAGATACAGAAACCGATTAGTCACGATCCTAAAACCATTTATTTGGTAAATTTTACTAAAGATTTTTGATAGTCTACCGTGCTATAGACTTCACAGTACATTTTACTTCTAATCTGCATGATAATATTTTTTACTTAAAAGCCATCTCTGCCAGCTGTAAATAAAGGGACTAACCCTGCTGTTTTTTCTAATCAGTTCTTCTTTGATCAAGTTTCCCTTGCAGGCAGAACTGAAAACATACCAACTCTACATAATTAAGAGATGTCTCCTCCTCAGGAACGTTGTTGAGAAAACAGCATAATCAAAATTGTCTTTTTACTTTAGTAAAGAAGAAAGTTGAAAGCTGTGGTTCTACTAAGGTCTTCAGATCTAAAGGATTATTCTAAACCTTTTGTGCTAGTGTTGTTAAGTCCAAAAGTATTACAAACAAGGAGTAAAAACCGGGCTGACAATAGAAAAATACACGAAAATGTGCTACATTTTTATACATGCCATATACAGTATGTGACATACTGCAGCCAGAGCACAATACCATGATATCACTTTCATGCTTTGCATCAGTTGAGTGTAGTTATGCAAAAATATGCAGAGTGCCTTACAAAATATTTGCTCCCTGTCAACACATTTTAATGAATTACATCTGTATATGCCAGCGACACACTTCAATATAGCACTTTTTATTCAAAACTGGAATTATCTGACTGAAAGCTGTTTTATATGAGGTAGGTTATATAGCACCATAATAGCAAGAAAAAAAACATACAAAGTGAAAATTAGTGTGTAAAAGTATACATCTCTCTAAGTCAGTGTTTGGAGAAAACATGTTTGGTAGCAATCAGAAGAAGTTCCATTTTTGTCTGTTCTGACCATAGAACCTTTTGCCACAGGTCACATCTCATACAATTAAAATTAGCCTTTTTTATCAAAAGCTCCTTTCATATTTGTGGTATTCCCCCACACGTGCCAGCTTTGAGTACAGACTAGGATATAAACATAAACTGAACTTTGCAAATCTTTCAACATCACTGTTGTCTTCACAGCAACAGTCCCCATAATAATTGCACTTGCAATGATAGTGAAAGTAATGTACACTATCCGATCCAGGCTGTGCCATACATTAAGGCACATGCAGATTCTTGTTTGCCAGCTAAAGTGAAAATTCAGATATGTATTCATGGCTGAGCAAAAGAAAGATGTGCATTCACTGAAAAGGACTGATAAACAAAAGCTAGTCGATTTTCAAGGACGAATGGCTTTCTAAAACTGCCAAGATTGACACAACTGATGTCCCAAGAAGAGAAGCTCCAAACCAGGATGACGTTTTTAAGCACTCCAGTAGAATTTAAGTTGGGTACAAATTTTGAACAGTGGCAAAGGGAAGTTTTCAACTGATAAACCGTGGGCAGAATTGAAATTTGACTACTTGTACACAGTTAAGACTTTAAGTAAACTTAGAATTATAGAATTAGCTTTAATTCTATGTTAAGAATACAAAAGCATAGAATTAGCTTTAACTAGTTACTCTCTGAAACCAAGTTAGACACACATAGAGAACACCGCAGTGAATGAAGGTGATCAGATTATGTCAATATGATGCTAAAAAACCTGTGCTCTAAAGAGCTTTGGGAAGATGTTCACTGGAGCTGTGTGAAATGGCATTTAGAAACAGGTGACAAAATTAAGAATAAGAATACAACATGTATTAGTCAGTTTGTCCTAAAGTTTTCAAGCATCTAGTTTAGGGGTTTCAAACTCATTTTACCAGTATCAGTCTTTAAAATCTCTAGGTTGACCGATAATGTCAATGAGGATGTTTACGAAAGAAAAAAAGTTCAAGATGTTCAATAAAAAAGTTTAAATCTGATGCACACTTCTTAGGGAAAAACACAGAACTTACTACAATCCCTTGTCTGCCAGAGTGTTATTTGTGCTTGCCAGACATTCAGAAAAGCCTCTTTTCTGTCATGTTGGAGTTGAGACCTTAAGAATTGCAGCAAGATGTAAACCAGACAGAAATGCTCTGTATTCTTTGTGTGTGGAAAAACTTGTTCACAGATGTAAGAACTGCCAAACATGGACAGGGTTTTTATGAATGTCTAGCTAAGGTTTCGAAAAAATGGTGGAAGTTGTCTGAAATATTCAGCGACATTCCTGGTTTTGCTGAATTGTGTCTTCAATGATGTGCAGCAAACGTACTGAAGCTCTCTTTGTGCTTTCTAAAACCTACAAACCACACATCAAACTCCCGCAACAGCTTGTCAAACTTGGCAGTATTCAGCACTGCTGAGCTGACTTTCAGAGTCAAGCTATTCCCAGGTGACATGCACACATAGAAATGAGTCAGATTACATGACAAATCAGACTTTTCCAGTTTTAGTTTGGTTCCAAAGGCTCTTACACTGTCATACACCTGGGGTCACCACCTGATTTGGACCTTTAGGTTTCAAGTTAAGCATGTTGAGCTTGTATGTTATAATAACCATCAAAATCAGCTCGGTGAAGCAGTTCAGAACTTCACATTCTGGTAATTCTTCTAATTCTCCTCCATTACACACTATGTGTTTACACACAGGTGAGAGCTGGAGCATCACCGTATTACACCCTGTGCATTCACACACACAGCTGTGTGACTTTTACACACTGTGCGTTCACACAGACAGGTGTGTGGCTTTTACACGCTGTGCGTTCACACAGACAGGTGTGTGACTATTACACGCTGTGCGTTCATACAGACAGGTGTGTGACTATTACAAGCCGTGTGTTCATACAGTCAGTAGACAGTTCTCAGATCAAATAATCTCTTTGAAGCAGCAGCCCAGTTTATCCAATGAAGAATAGTAAGTCATAATAATCAGAGTAGATTGCCTCTAAAAAAAAGCATAAAGTTGCCTGTTTTTTCTGCCCCTCATGCAAATCTGATTTACAGGACATTCTAAATTGTTTGAAGATTTACTGCACAATACATGTTGGTGTACAATGCATTACAATGCAACTGATTGGTCAGCATTTGGTCAATTTTTCTTTTGTTGTACAAGTTTCACCATGTCTTTTGACCAATGATTACCAGAGTCCTGTTGGTCTTTAAACATGCTAACAATTTCTATGGCAAAACATTTTGCTCCAGAAAGGTAGTAAGAATTTGCAAGCAAGTTAAGAAGTTCTTCAGAAGAATCTATAGTAGCAAGCTATACATTGTCTATGAATTCAGCACTCTCATCAAGTAGTCTGGCCCTTTAGGCTTCTTATGGATTGTGTGACTGTGAGATTGAAGATGCTCTCATCATCTGAGGGGTCTGAGTCTGCAAATGTACTGTAGTTGGAGTCAGAAAGATATTGCTGAAAAAGCCTCTTTTATATTGAAGAACCTAGATGAGTTGAAAGCCAAAAGGCTACGTCAATATTTAACAGCCTGTGCCTGCTGAACTTACATGTGGTATGAGGTGGAGAAAGGCATCTCCACTAAGAGTCCCCACTGCCAGAGCTACCAAGAAGCTCAGCAGGAACTTGAAAAACACCCGGTTCATCAATGGGATCAGAACAACTCCAAGCAGGGACAGCAGGCTGATAATGGTGATGGACACGAACCCTCCGATCCAGGCTGAAAGCACAACACCCAAATTACATTCGATTTAATGTACCACTCAAGGGTACAAGGTTTTTAATTATGTCACCTAATTAGTAATACTATTAACTCAATTATATTGTTTCAGTAACCTGCATATACCCAACAGAAAATCAATACCTATTCGTAAAAATGGACGTTTTCTACACTACAAAAGCATTTCGCGTTTCTTAGACCATAAAAATACTGCAATTTCACTGTTTTTTCAGTGTTATACTTACTGTATGTGAACAGTAGGTTTCTATTTAACAGAACACTTTGCATTTTCATTACATTCTTGATAATTATAAGTGTTTCAATAAATAAGGTAACAACTCTCACTGTGATGCAATTATTCATAAATGACTACTGCCATGACTCATAATAGGGCCATGGTCATTGCAAGGTTTTTTAGGCATGGGTCCCACCATCACATTTAACATATCAAATACAAAATAGCAGAAATCTATGCAAAACTCCTAGAACTACACTTAACCACTGTTGAGAAATTGCCTGCTGGACAGGTGCTTCATTAAGTACCTTAATTATTTCCAATGTTACAGAGGTGTCCAGTATCATTTGATATATCAATATCATTCCGGGGGAGGGAATCAACGACAAATACACTCTAATGGGCCTAAGATACATCTTTTTCACCGGAAAAGCTATTTAACCTTCTTCACAACAGGAGTTTGCTGGGCTTTCTATCTTATGAATGCTGATTTAACCTCTCATGTACCCAAGTAATTTTTGTTACCTTGTTTACTAAAACCTGCTTACTCAAACATAAGCTAGCCTAAAAACAGTTCTTCATACACAGATGTTAGTATTACTGTAGGGAAACAACAAAAACAATGAAAATGTTTACAGTAAAGTAAATGATCCAAGAGAGATGAGTTGCATGAAAATGTGTTATAACAGAAATACCAGTGGTAACAAAAGCAAACAGCAAAGGGTAAGTGATTACGAGAATAATATTTAAAATGTTTTAAGAGGTTGATACACAAGTGCTTCATGCAGTGCTTGCCTGCTGCACAATGAACACTTAAGACAAAAAAACTGAAATCATACAAATAGCATAATGCAATTGTCAGACACAGAATTCAAAATACAAGTTCTACATTTTGGCTAGCAATAAAGATTTTATCATTATAAAGTTAAAATAATTTTAATTTGACCATTTTCTTTGGCGTCACTTTTGTGTCTCTTGGTGTAGTCCATTTCCATCAATGAATAACACCGAAACTTATAAAACCTAACCAGTGGAACACCACCTTTGTGAGAAAGTGCTTTTTGATTTATCTAAGGAAACTCTCAATGGATACATCAGGACACATTCTTACCTGCCTGAATGGAACTTCCTCTCTGGTGGCTTTCACTGCTTTCCTTATTATTATCATGCTCTGGAAAGGAAGAAAAATGCTTGTGACTGAAGAATTTATAAATGTTATAAAACCTGGCATACTTAATCTAGTTACTTTTCAGTATAACTGTTAAAGTTAAATACTTATGTGCATGAAAAAATATGTTTTATCTACTTTTAGTCACTCTACTGTTCAAACACATTCTGTACTGGTTCAATAGACCACACACAGTATCTGTTATCGACTGTATGGCTTGGAATTAATAGCCTAAAGCAACTGGACAATAAAATCAATGCAGCTATTCACAGCCCTACTTCATTATCTTTGATCTATTATTTTAAATGTTTGCAGGTTAAGCTCTGCTTCTGAACAACATGCAAAAGAAACCAATGGTTCACAATCACAAAAATAAACAGCAGACATACGCGTTTCCATGTGGTGATCTCCATGAGAAGCCTTTCTGTGAACAATGCAGGACTTGGTGTCAATCTGATTAAGGAGAGCAGGGCAGAGGTAACTGAAGTCTGTGACCGAGATGTTCATCTCCATGTTCATCCCATGAGAAGTCAGGATTCTGGTGGCATTTAAACACTGAAAGAGAAGGACCAAAATAACAAAACTAGACCTTGACCGGACAAGGACAAGTAAAGGTTTTGCTCACTGCACCCATCTTTGGAATGATAAAATTATCATCAAGATACATTTCTTGCTTGTCATGATGATTATGAAAAATAGAGCCAAGTGTCAAAATTACTTTTAAATAGTTTTTACATGAAAACATGCAGTAAACACAGCAAAGCCCACGTATTCATTAACTTGTTAATATTCTGCCGGTATGACAAATGTTGTCATTTCAGTATTTACATGAACACGTGCATGAACACTTATAGTACATAAATCAAAAAAGCTTTGTATTTGTAAGACTATGGTAAAGACAGTTTCTATGACCCTAAACATTGGAGATGCACTCCTACATAATGAATTGCATGCCATTTAGGACAGAGACTTAAATCCATCCTACCTCTTTTCCATGGTGATTGTGATCATGATCGTGATCGTGATCATGATCGTGATCGTGATCATCTTTCTGCTTGTCTTCTTCTGTAACAAGCAGATTGCTGATCTTCTTAGTGGTCCCAGAGGGGTCAGGCATGGTGGAGCTAGACCCTGTTGTCTTAGAAGAGTCCCCTTGTGGCAGTTGGTCATTTGTGCTTCTCCGGCTACGTACCTCTTGGGATTTCCTCAAAATGTTACTGGTGTACACTGGGGTCGTACTGATTTCATGAAGCACTTTCTTGGCATAAAGATTGTGGTGGCTGTCACCGTCTTCCTTCTTCTTGCTCATCGCCAGGTTGACCTTGGGAATCTCAGTGACCTTCTTGCTGGTGGGGATTTCCTGTTGGTGCGTGTGGTCATGGTGGTGTGGGTGATGATGGTGATGAGGGTGGTGGGAGTGTCCTTGATCCTGGCCCTTGCTGGATTTGTGTACAGTTTCCCTGTGCAGAACATCCACCCTCCTGATCCTGTCTAAGCCAATGCTCTCCAGGAGCTTCTTCAGTCCCTCCATAGAGATGGTTCCATTCTCCCCATAGCGCCTGAACAGGACCTCTAGGTGATGCTTCTGCATGTGTTCAGCCACTTGCATGTCAACATTGGGGAGAATCTGGTCCCTGGTCCTAAAATCCCCCGGACTGTTGCACTCAGGACTGCTTTTACCATGGCCATGCCCTAGGCATTGACCAGCAAACACTAGTAACAAAGCAACAGGTATCCAATAGTCTTGTTCCATCTCCTGAAAGACAGCACAGCTTACTATGTTTAGAGATATGGTTTCCAATGTTCTCTGAGCACTTTAGAACAATATAATGGTAGATTACACAGCAGATATCGTGACGTGCACAAAACCAGTTAATTCAGCACAAACACTAGTGGTTTCCAAGTATTTAGTCTTATGAAGAAAAAATAATGAAAAGAGTACATTATATGTACAATGATGTCAAAAAGAAAGTACACCCTCTTAGGCTTCTATAGTTTTACTTATTAAGACATATCTGACCCTCACCATGTCCCAACAGTAGATATTTCTATCCTTATGTGACAAATAACACATCAATTTTACTTTACTGTCATTATTTATAAAACAAAACAAAAAACAATCAGCCAACATTCAGAAAACTTGAAAAAGTAAGTGCACCCATACTTCTCCTATATACGTTAAGAAGGATTAGAACCAGGTGCTGCTAAACAAGTGCACATGATTATTTGATCATTGGGAAGTGCTTTCCTTCTGTATATAAAATGTAAAACTGTCAGTCTGGTCTAAGGCTAGACTAAGACAGGAGACTCCACAGCTGAAATGTTGTGGTTTTTTTATTTATTTTCTTCTCTTTTCAGCATGGAATACACTTTTTGTTCCTTTGCAGCCTCTGCATACTGATGCACCTACAGTATGTACTTGAGACTATTCAGGGTAGTGGCAAAACATCATCATTGTCTAGGTGAAAAGATATCTGTGGTGGTCTCAGAGAGAGAATTGTTGCTTCTCATCAATCTGAGAAGGCTTATAAAGCCATTTCCAAACAATATGAAGTCTATCATTCTGCAGTAAGTATCTTCAATTGCCACAATACATTCTAATAAACACTTTCTTTGCAATATTTCCTGTTGGCATTCACTACTGAAATATACTTTTTAATACTGCTGTATAATAATGTGCTAACAATGGCGATCAATGCTTTGAGTTTTTAAGAAGTGCTAATATTTTTTTTTTAATTTTAAATCATGAGAACCATATTATGATTATTTTATTATTATGAGCAGTATGAAAATAATTACTCAAATCTGTTTGTATTATTGAGCAATATGGTATGCTATTTTGCAATAAAAGACCCTTATGGTGTGGTTTTAAAACCAGATAGCCTGAGGTGTATATTTACATTAATTACAACTTTTTGGTTGTTCAAATAATTTTGATTACCTAGAAAACAGTATTTCAGTAGGTGTTTCAGGGTCTTTTGGAGTACCACCATTTATATTTATTTATTTATATCAGCTATTCATTTAGCTAATCTGCCCAAAATTTTATTAAACAGGGAGTTAGAAAATTACTATGATTTCTTTGTCATATTTTTTACTGCAAGAAGACTTACTGTCACTATTACCAAACTTGCCAGTGAATTAGTTTAAAGATGCCTACTGTAAGGCAAGGGCACAGACATCAGAGCTCATCTGTTGAACAGACATGCAGTGCACATTAAAGATAGAGTCCATAGTTATACTGAAATAATTGTTAATTCTACAACCACAAACATCCCGATAACGTGTAAACCTGTGTCTATGAAATCTATAGACATGGTGTCAAAGTTTCTGACCACATCTGGTCAGAAATAATATGAATAATATGTAAGCGCGTTCCCTAAAATACTGCATGTTTGCTTAGACAGTTTAATTGATGGTACAGTATAGTCGGCAACATGATTGTACAGGACAGTCTGTAACAAAATAATAATAACTAAATGTATACGTACATGTATTGCGTATATGAATCCACAAATCAAGAATGACGTGCATCTGAGAAAAATCTGTTTTGCGTTTACATAGTATACTCTAAAACGTGATTAGGTATTGTAACAAGCATTTATAATAATCGACACGTTGGTGCGAATCTTGTGTGAAGTCCAGAGCCAGCTTGTTTTTTTTTGTTTTTTTTTTTGGTTTTTGCCTGCCGATTTCACAAAGGCTAAATGCGGTTATAAAAAAAGGGAAGAAGCGTTATGATCATCCCTATCGGTCACTTTTTTTCCTCCACATGGAATTCACATTTTTATCCCTGAACTCTGAATGTACATCACTTCATTATGCTCTCGCTAATATCTACTAGGATAATGCATTTGTGGTGTTTTCAATAAATTAAAAAATATCGCGCTTCAACATTAGGTCAAACTATTATTACCCAAGCTATAACAGAAACCGTAAAAGATCGAGAATGAGGCAGGCCATATTGAGAACAAAGGCCTGCGGTACACAGTGACATTAAAACAGCTGGAAAGACCCGTACAGTAAAACAAAACTGCTCCCATTCAGAGCTACCAACTACTACAACCAACCACACACAATGCGAATGAAGGCGCTCGTACAAACAGATTTTATGCACCCTGCCCTGGAAAGTTACCAGTGCCGTGTGCAGAGGACACCGAACAACGTCAACCTCCGGAAACAAAAGGCAGCAGACCGGACAGACAACAGCGCGGAGGTGATGTGCAACCTCATCTCGGAGGGGAGAAAAAAAAAAACCCGAAAGATACGTCTTTGAGCCCACATACGTACCTTTGTACCGTTGTATTACTTTCCTTAGAAGATAAAATGATTGATTCTTTTTAATTTCCAAAACACAGAAAGCACGTTTATTTTCCTGCCCAGGCACGCAAGCTTGCCTAGCAATGCCTCACTCAGGAAGCCATGCTTCTCTACTGCAACTTTGGGTGGAGTCATGTGACGGCGCTTCATTCTCCACGTTTGCAAGGGGATTTAGTGACAAGTCCCTAGTTGAACTGTTATTAAAAACTCGGGGACAGGCGTGAAAACAAAAGCAATAGTAATAAAATGTCAGGAAATATAAACGTTTTAAGATTACTTTAGAAAAGGGCTTGCGTTGCAGAAAAAGCAGCTTCCAGTATTATTTGGTTCAAAACAGAATATCACATTACAAAATGGTACTATTAACATTTTGTTTTAACTTCTTGATGTGCATCCTCAAATTCTGTATTTTAATTGTAGTTCCAACTTTAATGAAAAAGATAACTTATTGTTTAATATATAATATGGGGATCACAAATTAACTTAAGCTTGTATTGTATCCTAGTAAGGACTGGTGAAACTGTTCAAACACACGATTTGTGTTTGTTCCCACCGTGTCATGTGGACGTGGGAGTCAATTAGTTGCTATTCTGCATAATGTCTTTAATTTTTTATGCTCCCATGGAACTCTGCTCCAGACCTCACACAGCCTTGAATGGTAGTTTTGAAGACATTGTTTCCTTTTTTATAATTTTTATATGTATATTCCCATTTTTTTTTGCCCTTGGGTATACATTATCTTCCCAAACCACTATTTGAACTGTATTGGCAAAACTCATTCTCGTGTCTTCTTCCTGACAGAGTAGCAAAATATTAGCCTTGAATTATCTTTGGTGATTGATACCACACTTTAAACTGGGATGCCTTATGATTTTTATAGGTGTAACGAGATACTGACAATGATCTTCTGACAATTTTTCCTTATTGTCCTTTTTCCCTTACTGAGTGATTTGTTTCTGTGTTGTACTGTCTTTAATACACTGTGGCAATCAATGATGACTTGCAGGAGCTTCTGTAACCTGTAAGCTTCTGGAATTTTTTAACACTTCGAAATGTGAAGTCACAGAATGCACAATTGTATTTTTCAAGTCCAAACTATGGGAAAAAAGTGTGTGATTTTGCATGTATTTGATGTCAAACATTTGCTTCAGTTTTCTATATCAGAGTGTGGATTCAATTTGAAATGTGTTTTCATAGGAGCTTTTGCCCGTCAGTTATATCAACCCAGTGTGAAACCATCAAGCAATGCGTTTAGATCTTGCTTTGAGGGACATTTGACATTATGGTAAAATCTCTAGGTATTGGTTAGTAGAAATAATTCTAATTAGAGAAGACCTGCTGTCTTCTTTGCATTCAGGCTTCAGGTGGTTAAAGGGAACAATCATGATACAGTATCATGACGCCATGATTGTTTTTGATTTTTAAAGTAATGTGTCATTGTCTCTTTACAGAAGTTAAGAAGATCTTTGAGGACAAACTAATATAAAATTGTATTCTTTTAGAAAACACTAATTATCGAATTTCAAATCTATTTAGTATCTAAACTGAAGAGGGAGATATTTTAGAAGTAAAAATGAAACCCATTTTGATCTTGAGAAATATGATAATACAGTGTATTCTTTTCCATTTAATTGATCCTTATTCATATTTTAGGTGATTTTTGATTTAAAACAGTTTGACTTAAAACAGTTCACAAACTAATTGAGTAAATACCTTTATTAATAGTCTTGAAACATACATTCTAGTAGGTCAGATGTGAAATAATTAATACAAAGGCTAATTCTTGGGAAAAGGACTGTCAGTCAAGTTGGATTTGCTGCTTGATTAACTTCAAATCCACAGCTAAGAAACATCATTTATCATGGTCTTTCAGGCTAAACATAATTCAATTGTTTTGGGGCTTTGGAAAAGAAGCTTTAAGATAGAAAATACATTATGCAGTGATTTAAGCAACTATGGGACTATGTGTACATCAATTGTATTGCTAACAGGACTGATATTTTTATTTAACAATGATTCATTGCCCCTCCATGAAATGAGTGACCTTATCCATCAGTTTTACAACAGTCAACTAATGAAGGCCTTTTGAGATTGTTGTTTTGTTTTTCTTGTTTTTGTTGGACAAAGGCTCAAAAGACAGCTTATAACATTGGTTGAACTACAGGAAACAAAGTGGAAAAAATGCAGATTGTTCAATGTACACCCAACAGACAAGCACAGACATTCTTGGAGCAAAGGGATTTCAAAACTGTTTTGTTTTGTTGTTCTAATTGTAAAACAGAAGTTCAGCTCTTGTTCTTAAAATTCTTTGGAAGTGTTCAATGTCTGGAAACTTAGCCGTAGGACTATCTTTTATTGATTTACTGGCTAGATCAGAAAACAGAGCAGATGCTACACAGCTTTTATTTATTAATGATGTGGAGATCACTCCTCTTTCTAATTATCCAGGCTTAATAATTGGACAGGTGTTCAGTCTCAAACATCATTTACACATTATGCCACTACAGATACCACAGACTGGGAGCTTAAACACAATCTTTTTTCTGGCACTTGACAATATTAACAATTTAATCATTGAATTGTTAATTCTCAAATTACCTTGTTAAATCAAAACTAAGGTGAATTCTAAAATTCCATACAAGAAACAGAAAGAAATTATACTACCCTTTAGGTAGTAAAAATTCATTTCTGACACCTCCTTAAAGTACCTGTCTGGCTAAAGAAACCAATCTTATATAGAAAAGATAGTTATTCAAAATAACTTATATTTAAAGTGACCAGGGTACATGAAAAATCAGGACAGTCCATTCAATTTAGCAAAAACTCAGGCACGTGTACTGTTTGACATCTTTTTGAGATTTCCAAGGAATGGCACAACAATCTAGTTTCTTATTTCTGTGATATACTGTGTCATTTCAAATATCATGTTATGCAAAGAGTATATACAGTAATTACATATCTTGCAGTATATTTGTTAGTGTTAATTTGTGTTTGAGCAGTCAATATATTATATCTAAGTATACTGTACATCTCTTACTGCTGTGAGATTTACCTCTAGATATAGCTTTTGCCATTAAATGTGTACAGCGTGAGATGGTGACAGATTTATCAAAAGTTCTCTGTTCGCAAATCACCGTTGGCCTGGCTTGATGAAAGCATCATACTGTACCAAGAGTAATCATAGACAAGGCAGAAAGTACAGAGCGTAGGGTGTAATTATACCACATATGTAATACTTTGTGCTATATATACTTCTGTGAACAAATAATGGTTACTTACAATGATTTGAAAAGGTATTCCCACCCATGCACAGGTTTCTCATTTTCCTGCTTTAAAGCTTGCAGTCGTTACTCTTTGAAGTAGCAATTAGTATGTTATATAGACAAACTACTCCACACATTCAAAGTAAAAGAAAAAAAGAAATAAGTAAATAGATGATTAATGTGGAAAAAAATGGAAAGTCATGACTACTGCACATATGTATTCAAAACCTTTGCTGTAGCAAATCTAAATGAATTCCGGTGCATACAATTAGCTTAATGAGCCACACAGTTGAGTGGCATCTGACTGTGTGCTTTAATAGTTCTGCACATGAATACTAATATTCAGGAGCTTTCAAAACAACAGGTAAAAATTGACAGATCAGGAGAATTAAAAACCCCTTAATAGCTCCTTAAACATGGGGAAACATGTTAATTAAGTAGTGAAAAGCACCCAGACACTGTCTAGATCAGGCTGTCCCTCCAAACTGAGTAGATGGGCAAGGAAGAAACTAGTTAGGCCAATGGCAATTTTACAGAACTCAGTGGCTGAGATGGGAGAAAATGTTCCCATCATTCCACAAAGGTAGTTTGTACGGAACAGAAAAAAAAAAAACATCTCAAATCCCACATAGGGTTTGCAACAAAGCTCCTAAGTGATACTCCAAATATGGGAAAATGATATGTGGTCAGACAAGAGAGAATGATAACTTTTTGGTTTAAATGCAAACTGTTACAAAAGTGTGACTTCTGTTACAAAATTTAACATAGCGCATCACTTAGTTTACATCCAATCACAAGGCTATACTGGAGTGGCTTAAGGAATTTCCTTACTGGAAGTGACATGAATCCTATTGAGAACCACTGGAAATACTGTACATGAAAAGTGCTGCTCATACTGTAAGTGATCTTCAAGCAACCCGAGAGAGCTTTAGTACATTTGCCAGAAGAACAGGCACTAAATCTGTGGTCAGAGCTTGTAGAAACTTACCCAAAAATACTTTTACAATAACTGTAATTGTTACCAAAGGTGCTTCCACCAAATAATGAGTTCAAGGGACACCACAGGAAGGGTGTGAATACTTTCCAAGGCACAGTATATGATTCAGGTAAGATTCATCCCCTTTTATGCCAAACTTTGCACACACTTTAAGGTTTTTCTTATTTTCATTTTCAATTATGTCTTTTCCAACAAAGCATGGATATTAAAATGTTAAACGATATAATGCTCAAGCTTACCTTTACTGTTCTTCATGGTTAAATATATATGAGGATTCTGTTCACAGCTTGGTTTTGATCTCTCTCTTTTAATTAATTATAACCTGAATTAATATTGCACCATGATCATTAAATTTACATTAAGATAGAAATCATCTCCTTTTGCATAACTGCACTAGCAGAGGAATGACCAAAAAATTGCTACTGGCTCTGTCTCATTTTCTTTGTCTGACTTTTTAAACAAGTACAAGGACACCATAAATCAAAATATTATAATTCAATCAACATGGCTCTGAATACATAGCTTAATGTATTTACAAGTGGTAGAAATAAAAAAGAAATGCTAGTAAATTGCAAAACAGGAAAAAGAAACTCTTACTGTTCATGCCAATTTATTTTACAGGTTAGTTCTAGAATATTTATTTTAATTAAAATATGTTAGTTTTAAATGAGAATTACACAATTTCCCTTGATTATAGTAGTGGTGTAGTTCTCACAAACAGCACTACAAGTTCAGATTCCAGTGAAATAACATGTCTATGTTATGTGGTAAGACTCAAACCCTGATATCTCCTGGCCCTCAGTGAACTGAGCACTGCTGATGAGAAAAAACTTAGTAACAGTTTGCTGGTGACAAATTCTAGATCTGATGAGGCAATGGCTGGATTGTAGGGCCCAACCATGCACTTTAACCAAGCTGGTTAAGACATTCACCTGCCCTGAAAGTTAGAATCTTTCACAATACCTACAATAACCGGGCCTGTAGAGAGCAGAAAAACATCAATATTCAATTCATCAATTGAGACATTCAATGTGTAACACCCATGTACTGTACCTTTATAGAATATGTTGTGTATATATAAAATATTTAAAACTGAATAGAAACTACTGTAAAATTAATGCAGAGATTTTTTCACATGGTTTCAAAACTAATGGTTGATTGATTCACACCAACAATGTTTCTGAAATATTTTGTAATAAAGTTCAAAATTATAAGTAAAATGTAGATGACAAAATAAACATAGAACTTTATCATAGTAATTCTTAAATCCTTTTTTAATATTTAACTTCTTTATTATTATCAGGTATTCCCACTGATACTACAGTCTCTTTTTACCAGTTATGCAAATACAGAGCTGTGCACAGCACTAGACATTGAAACATTTTAGCCAGTGACTTCAACAGTGTCTCTTCATCTATGTACAGAAACAAATTTTCATTTCTCACATGCCTTTTGTGTCTTACATTGATGCCCTTGGAAAGAACATTTTGTCTTATAACTTGGCTCTGCAAGATTCACCATTAAATATTCAATTTAGTTTACACTACAGTAAGCTACATTAATTCCTTTAAGACCTTTTATATAAAACCAATTTACTGTAAATATCTTGTCTATATATTGTGTGACTCTTAACCATGTTTTGTGCTTGATCCTGATGGTTTGAAGGTTTTAGCATGTTTTTTGTTTTTAATGTTTAGTGCTATATTTTTTTTAAGGTTCCACTTGGTGTCTTTAATCTTTTTAAATAATCTGAAGAACAGTGCATAATGCTAAAACTAAAACACCATTTATGTTTTCCCTCTTTTATAATGGCCCAACTCCGAACCTATTTAATTTAAACTGAGTAGTCTTTTAGAAAAACAAAAATGAAAAATACTTCATTTATTGAACAGAGTACAACATGAAAATAAGCATTTTGTCTGTTTATTTAGGGGACAAAATATTAAAACAGCAGTAGTAATTAAAATGATTGCTGTTTTTTTTTCCCAACAGATTTATGTAGAGAAATGTGATATTACATATGATGAAAATAATGTGAAGGGAAAGCTCATTCTGAAATCTAATAACTAGTGTTATAATTACAGTTTGAGAGTCACAATATTATAAAATACATTGAACTAACTTAAGTCAAACTACTTTTTAATTATGTCTCTGAAATTACTCATATTATTGAATTTAACCCAGTAATAAAAATAAAATTGTGGGGAGATACATATGATAGAGTACATCAACAGGAGAATATGGAAATCAATCTAGGCTATGCCAAAGGCTGACTGTTGCCAGTAGTCTTTAGTGGATTTAACTTGGCAGAGTCAGCAGTGATTTGGATACAGCTCCCTACAAAATGCTATTAGCTTCCAAGCAGCAGCTCCTGAGATTTACTGGTTGGTACTAATATGATGTGGGATAACATTTTTTTAAATTTTCATGCAGCAAAATTTTATTTTTTTTAGGTAATCTCAAACCTATTAGGGAAAACAAATCTGCAGCTACAGTACCATTAATGTGTTTTAAAATTTCAAAAAGAAATCTTATCCAAAAATTATTTTCAGTCATTTGTTCCAAGCAGATGCCCAAAGGAAAAAGGTGCGAACTTGTATCCAGATCCTTTGTAGAACTTGTTCTGAAACTCAACCCTAAAAAAAACACAGGAAAATGCTTTAAAATACCCATTTCTTATCAGCACAAAAAAATTATAAAACAAATAATAGCATGCAAACAAAAGTCCTTTCTTTAAAAGTTTTAAATGAGTGGCAAAGTTACTTACTGTATTTTAATTACATCTGTCACTATAGTTGACTGTAAATTAACTGTAAAATATTATATTTTCTATATGATTCTGTGCATGAAGAAAAATATTTACATTTATTTGTCATTTATATATTATATATATTGTCAACATATATTGTTTTATTCTTTGTGTATTTTTACGTGAATATAAAGTAACTTATTTTAATTTAAATCTGGACATTTTTAGAATGTCAGAAGCTCATTTTATACTGTCATATTAAGTACAAAGTTTTAAAAAATAAAACAGCTTCCCATTCCCAAACCTTTGTTGATTGAAATGACTAGCTGGTTTCAAAGACAAGGTCTCTTGACTATGTTTTACACTTAAAAATAATTTAAAATGCATTCTCACCCTTTTAAAATGTCAATAATGATCATCTATTGAAGTAAGACTTATTTTTCCAATGTACTGTGGCTTATACTGCAGGAATGAAGCAGCTGACTGCATCATCTTACATGTAAAGTACATAATATACAGTAACTGCATCTATAGTAATGTAAGAAGATGAATCTATAAATCTCCGGGTTTCCCGTGAACTGCAACAAAAGGGATTGGATTTCCTAATGTCTTAATAAATATCAGTTGCATAGATGTGTACATCATACCATCAGCACACCAACACAGAATAGGACCTGTACATGTATATTAATCGTGAGGGGACCCATTCTTTAGGCAACTTAACAGTGTGTGATACAAGTGATTACTGTAAATAATAAATGTGCAAAATGTCCCAACTCCTGTAATGACTCACTCTTTTATTTTTCTTTTCAGTTTTAAAATTCCTTGCTTTTAAAGGAAATGTTAAATCATTTTTAGTTGTGAACTTACTCCCCCTAATAGGCTGCTGGTGAAAAGCATACCTACAGATACCTACAGTCTTGACGCATCCCTCAAACCTTTCAGTATTATCATTGATGCTTAAATTCCATTACAAACATCTCTACGGTAACTTTGGCCAGACAATCCAAAGTATTATAAAATTGTTTTGTTACAGAAGAAAGAATCTATCAATTTTATGGCAAGATTTAAACTCTAGACATGTGTCACGTTTATTTGAACCAATTACATCTTTATAAAGGCAGAGTATGTACTGTACTTAGTAACTCATAGATGACAATCCTAATAGTACTGTACCTGCAATTTAAAATGATAACTCCCGATGATGAAACTAATTTTAATTGTAAAATTAAAAACAACATGGTATTATACAGTACATGGTATTATAAGACATGCACAAAAAGTGAATATATTCTTCTTCTATATGTTCGGAATGTGTATATTGCTTGGAATTCCCAAATCAATTTCTTATAAAACACACACAAAATACAATGTTCACTGGAAAATTTTCTAAATATCAGAGTTTGGAACATCTGGACCACTGATATTATTGTTAAGAGGCCTGGGGTGAAACAAAACAAACCTATCTACCAGTCATAAGTGACAAGGACAGACCTCTTTCTTCTAATCCATAGAAAATGCAGGATAAAAATGTTATTTTTTCAGTGGCTCAATGCATTGATTTAATACGGGCCTGAATTTCAAGGTCTAGTATAGTATAGCACCACAGGGGGTTTTCCTTGTTGTTATTAGATGCCTACCAGTGCAAACGAAGGGCATGCAGGAAAGCAGAAAGACCCTCCATGACCAGTAGGACAGCCACTGTGAGGACAGCAAAGACGGCAAAGATTGCAGCCACCACAAGGCAACCCAGTCGTGAACCTATTGTCAAGCCCACTTGCAGGACCATCTTCCACAGCACTTCAGAGAGCTCTGTGGATCATTGGAAGAACAATGCAGGTGATGCATAATTACCATTGACAAACTCTGACATTTGTTATATCTCACGAAGATATTAGCAAGAATAGTACAAAATCATATAATCTATAATAAAAATAATATACTGTATACTGTATAACACACCTGAATGTTGTAATGTCATAATCTGAACACTAAAGATGTAAATCTGCTGATTTTGTTCAGTAAATTCCAGGTTTGGAAATATAAAGTAAAAATGTTCTGCTTTAATCTTTGATGTTTTGTCAAATCTAAAATAAAAGGCTCATTACTTTTAAACTCACTTGAAGAATGAGTCATACAAACATACAGTACGTATATTCTTTTTTCATTATGCAAATACAATTTGACACATTTAGAAATCTGTGCATTTGGTTTTTTTTTCTTCTTTAATATTCCTGATACAGTACATACTGTTACTTAAAATGAAATTATCAAAAAAGAAAGGCTTTTAATCTTTAACATAATTTATACACCACTTTGGGAAATTACCATGCTCTTCATCCCAGATAAATAGAGTCAATTACAATCTTGAGAAAATCAAAAATGCCACTTTGCTACGAATTCATGAAGGCATATTTTTTCTGCAAAGAATAACAGAAGTACCCCAATGAAATAGAACATCAAAAACAAACCGTCACTAATGGCATTCAAAAGTTTTGTGATTATCTTTTGAAGAATATATTGTTTCTTTTTCCGATTTGCCATACACTCAGATCTTGAATCTAACTAGTATTAATGTGATACTTACCAGCATGAGCTAAACTCAGTGCCCACAGTCTCAAGTAGGAGGCAGTGTTAGAAATGCATCCAAGACAGTATTCAATTGTGTGTGTAGCCTGGTAAACAATTACATCTCCCATGCTTACCTGTAGAAGTAAGAATCCTTATTTATGCATCAAAAGACGCCCATACCAAAGAAATATTTGCAAGACAGCCCTTTTAAAAATTTAACAGGAAGAAACAGGACTCCGTATGAGAATAAACTGGACTTTACATTAAAAAATTTAAAATATACTTGAAAAGTTCTAAGTGTTCTTCCCCAGCTCTTCATGGTAACTATGTGGAAGAACCTTTAAACAGAAAAAAAGAGGCACTTCTGTATGCTAAGGGTTGTGGAAGTACTCTATCAAACAAACCACTCAGCCATGTTGTTGAAGCCAACTTCTTTCTTTCTTTCTTTCAACTTCTTTCTTCCTTCAAGAAATGGCTGGATGAAATCCTCAGATATATTATTGACTAACTACTAATGATAGTTTGGCATTCAATATGTGTAAGACATCCAGAATTTTTGTACATTATCAGAAGATCTTGTGTGCTCAATATCAACACAGAGTAAGATATACAGTACAGAATAGAATAAAGAACTCAGAATAACAATCTGAAATTAATACAAAGAGATCTGTGTTATTAATCAATGGTGTGTTCTACACTGTATATACATTATGAAGCATTTTACATGAGATGAATGGTATGCTATTCTGTACATACATGTAAATGGTGAAGTCTTGGTTGGTCATGTAAATCTTCCTATACAAAGAGAAAGTTTATTGACTGAGGCTTATTTCACCTGTACAGTATTGTAATAAGGTCAGTCTCTAACACTGTTGTGTAATTAACAAAACCAAAAAATGCATCCCACGCTAAATATGGCCCAAATAAGAAGGTAATATAAAGCTGCACATTAAAAAGAATACTTCCAGAGTTTCTACCTTTTCCTCTTCATGGTTGTTGGTCTTGCAGAATGCATTCATCTCATCATCCTCCTGCTCAGGCTGAGAATTTGAGTACACAGAGTTGCTGCACAGGGACATCTTGTTTAGAGAGACCTTCTGTTAAAAAAAATATTATATACAGTTTGTTTTGTATTACAGTATATACAAGTGTGTCGGAGCTAGCTTTTTTATTCCATTTCTGCCTTGACATCTTGGTGGGATGGCATCTTCATCATCCTCCCATGCCAAGCAAGACCACTGACAGGGAGGCCTTGAGAGCAGATGGCTAGCTGTGGACTGCCACTGGTCCTATTACATCAACACCTGATAGTGTTGATAGGACCACAAGTTAAAATAAGCTTTTTGACAGATCTCATATATTAGCAATTGGTGAAGGGATCAGAGACAGATAAAGGAGCAAGTTTCAGCATTTTGTTTTTAAGAAAATTTCACATTTATTTTTAAAATTTCTTACTCTCATAAAGGTATGTTTCATGACTGCTACCTTACATATGTAATACCGAATGGCAAATAGTGGAGAGACTGTTATTGTAGCATGTTGAGCCTTCTGGTCAAATGACAAATGTGTTTACTAATGTATATGTTAATATTCTGTATATTGGCATCTATTAAGTCGTATGATTTTATAACTATGTGTGAGTTGATGACAACAGTGATATTTTTTTCTACTTTTGCCAACATGATGCATTTAATTTGATGGACTTACTGTAGAATACAGAGTATTTAACTTTCACTTAAAGTAGTTTCAAAAGATTAATGTTAGGTTTTTGTACTGGGCATTCTTTTTCTCTTCATAAGTGTCCTTATTGACTTACTCTATAACAGTGGAAATCAAAGTTAAAAAATAAAGTATGACTTAATTAATTTAGAAAGTAAATTTAGAATACTGCAGTTTACTCTAAACTAGTTTTGCTCACTTGTAAAACTTTTAACGGCTTTGGAAAAGAAGGACCTACAGTATGACTCATTCTTTCATTCAGCTGTAAGTCTTAACTTTTTACTGCATTTAAATTTCTTTCAATATTGCAAGTGTTCTCAGCCTCAGAAGATCTGAAACAAGGTCACATATACACTACACCAATAGCACCATGAGTCAGCAGGCACAGAGAGAATGAGAGAATTAAACTCAGAGAGAATGTATCATTACAATTCTTTAGAGTAGAGTTTAATATCTACAAATTAATCCTTTTTCAATATAACTCTACTTTTATAAAAATATGTGAAGCCCTAGGTTCTGTAAAATAATTCTGTTCTTGACAGTTAGTCAATGTTTGTTTTGTCAGACAATCCACCTTTTGGCTTGTATGAATACAACATTTTTTTCCCCAGATTGTGATATCCTGGTAAAAACTGTTCTGTGTTTCTCATTAACTGTTCCTTCTATACTGTATGTCTTGCAATACCAAAGTTTTCTGTGTAATATACTGTACATTATTCCTTGTTTGCATATCTTCATAACATACATTTCATTCTCATCCATTGCAAATTATCTTTATGCTCAAATTGCCTTTATGTCTTAAAAAATAAATTGTAATCCTTGTAACTAGAAGTTAATGAAAGGTTATGATTATTGATCTCAATGATTACCTACTAGTAAACCCTAGTAATTGAATGAGCTAGTGCTTGACATATTTATGCTATGTACAGTTATCCTATTATTTAAAAAAAATATGTAAAATTAATTAGGAATATTAGGATGCTCCCTATTTTAAAATTAAAATTAGATTGTGAAACTGCATATGTCTTGATTTTCCTAGTATATAAAGCATGGCTTCTGTCTTATACTGCAATTATTTAATCTACCTCAGTGACATTTTACAAGTAAAGGAAATGCTCTGTTGTGGGAGCTGTTCACCCACCTGCTGTTTTATGATTTTCTGTTCTCTGTAGAGGAGAAGAGGTTTGATGAGCAACATCCATGGGACCATCAGAAGAGCAGTGATGACCAAAAATGTCTGCACTCCTCTCTATATAAAGACATTCTGTTAGACAACACTTAGAGGAGAAACAACACAAACTCGCATGGTGAAACCAATGAATGACCGAGAGTGCAAGCTTAAATGCGGTCCTTTTCTAGACCCAACAATTAGTTTAATATTAATTCTAACTCATTGCCATATCACTGACTCTAAATATTAAACTCAATATCTTTCATAATCCCAATCCTAGCTAAAGATATGACATGTGCAAACATCAGCAGAAATAGTCAAATTGGAAAATAAAACAATATAAAAAAATTACTCATGCATGCAACAATAAAATCTCTCATTATAGTCCAGTGCACCAGATGGGGACCTTTGGGCTCCATATATAATCTTTTTTCTTAATGTATTTTATGTGTGGTTAATATAGTATTTTTCACTTTCATTTACATTTGAGAGCTAAGAAGGAAGAGGTACAATGACTGCTTTAAAAGACATCTTTAAACCAAACTAAAATGTTCATTCTTTTAAAATAATTTTAAAAAACTTTTGAAACTATATAAACTGTATATTGCAAGAGTGTAGTGGGGTGAAGACAAGATGGCAAATCTCTTCTTAACTACATTCCTCAGAAAGGTAAACCCTTACAGGGGGATGTCCTGCTGTCCAGTCACTTGATCAATTGAAGGAAGACAATTAGTTGGGTAAGACTAAAACTAAGAAGATGCATGCTACAGTAAGTATTCACAAAAGTATTCACACCCTGCCAATAATATGTTTTGCTGAATTGAAACTTCTCAGTATATGTGTCACGATCGTTACTCCTCCTCTTAAGGGCACTCCAGCCCTTCCTTGTTCTGTCTCATTCCCCACACCTGTTCGTTATTCCAGCCCCTCTTTAATTCCACCTTTATAGCCAGAGGCAGGCGATTGCTCGGGGCTTCTCATTGATTTTCGTGTCGTGTGAGCCCGGGGTCTTGCCGCGTCTGGCTCCGTTATGGTTTAGTTTCCTGTACCTGTTTCCCTACCCCACTGGTCCCGACCCGGTTCTGCTTTTAACTACAGATGGATCCCCTGGTCTTGGACTAAACCTCCCGTCTTGGATTCCCCCTCTGGATTTACCATCCCTCTGGATTGTTCGCCCTGGATTCACTCCCCCGGACACTAGCACTGCATGGACACGCCCCCCTGTCTCCTGAGCGACTCCTGCATGATATTTTTCCCTATTGTTTCTTCACCTTTTGGATCGTGTCGCCCGCATAGGGCCCGGAAAGAACTGTTCGTTACAATATGCTAATGAAAAGTGTTTGCATAACATGATGGGATGGTGATTGGGTGATTTGCCATGTATCCATATTCAGGAATATGGTTGATATGTATATAAAAAGTGAATCCTGATTCAGATTAAAAACTTGGTAAATATTTCAAAGTTATGGTTGGCTTCATAGTGGTATCCCTAGCTAGGTTCCTGCTGTAACGAACAGTTCTTTCTGGACCCTATGCGGATGACACAATCCGAAGAAGTGGGGAAACAATAGGGAAAAGTCATGCAGGAATACAGGACTGAAAACAGGGGGGGGCGTGTCCAAAGTGCGCAGGTGCACGGGGAACAGGAACAGGAACAGGAACAGGAACAGAGGTTAAAACCTTAACGGGACCAGGCACTTTCAAGTACCCAGACTCGCACGGTGCGAAAACCAGATGCAGAGCCAGGATGAACGTCAGCGCCTGGCTTTTAAGGTGGGCTGGGAAAAGGGGTCAGGTGCACAGAATTAAGTCTGAAGTGAAAGGGCTGGATCACCCTTAAGGAGGAGGGACTATAATCGTGACACCTGCATGTTCACTTTTTCAGTTCTAAAGACAACCCAATCTAGGTTGTAGGTTGTAGTGTCTGGATGATATGATGCAGTTTAAGCTTCTCAATAATGGAGTTCATTACATTCAGTGATAAATAATCTTCTTTTGATCTTTGCCTCTACCACTTCATCCCTGATTTGTTTCAGCTGCTTCTTGCTCTTCATGGCCAATTTGTTGTATTGCTATGTGAATTGTAGCTTGAAATTCAATATCTATCTGACTGAACGTACAGTGACAGATTAATTTAGTTTGAAATCAAGTTAAGCCACTTTGATTTCACACAAGACAGAGGCCATTACTCTAATTGTGTAACCTTTCAATTTAGGATTTTGCACCAAAAACAGGATTGCTGTAACAAAGTGGTTTAATAATTACAGTAGGCTATTTCCTAGAATGTTCTAAATGTATTTTAAAAATAATTCTATTTACAAACCAGTATTTCTTATCTTAAATATAAATTCCTTAATTATAAAATTCTCATAATTACATAATCAGAGAAAAAATTCATACATTTTATAAATAAGTACTTCTAGTAAGCGTTTTGTAATTTAAGTAATTTATGTAATTTAAGGCATCTACTGTATGGCCTAAAACCCTCCATTGGATAAGGTTATTCTAATTATTACAGGTGTTTATAGTGCAAAACTGTGAATTAAAAAAGGCACATATTATCTTTGGAAAAGTAGACAGAATTTGTTGTGGTTTACTGTATATTCACATGGTACCTGGCCATTGTAGAGCATATTGTCACTGGAATCACTGTAGGTGAAGAGCACCATGTTAATAAAGAGCAGGAGGATGCTGGGAGCTGTTTCTGGCTCCAGCACACTACACCACTTGAAGATGATCAAAAAGATTAGATATCCAAACAGAGAGAGCATAAAGACAACTTCAGGAATGAACTGCAGAAGAATGTTGCGGGTGTTTTTGAAATATCTGCAAAACAAAATACCAAATTCCATGAGTGCAAGAAAAAGTTGCATTCGACGGAGAGTTGTATTTTAATTATTTGAGTTTTGGTCTCTTTGAAAACAAATATAGTACTTGACTGATCCATCATGTTATATCTCCCTAGTCTTAAAATCATTATTTGATTGGAAATCCAATCAAATAAATTCAGCTGGTAATCCAGTGCTAAAAGTCAATAGGATTCCTTCTGTATTTTCACTTATAATTCAATATGTCAAGATCCCTTTGGTCACAAAAGGACATTTCAGAAAACATCATTTATACATATAACAGAACATATTTCATTTTAATATATTATAAGTGATCAAAGTCATGATGGATGCTAGCAGAATTTATTAAGTAAAACAAAACACTCAATGATTAGTATTCCTGGTTAATTTAGCTTTTGTACCTTTGTTGCTACAAATGTTTTTGATTTATTTATGGATGTGTTTTTACATTCATGGATGCAAGGCGCAGGATTCTAATTTAAACTGTTTTTTGTCTAAATATTTCTGAATTTCCTGTTTCTACATTATTTTGGTGACCTGCCTATTTTGGCATCATCTGCTTACTTGACAAGTTTGCTAGCTAAACTAGAATATAAATTATTGATATTTCTACAAAAGGTTTCTTTATATGTAAATGTGGTCAGAAGTAAAAAAAAAAAGATATTACTGTTCTTCAATGAGTGTGAAAAGAATGACTGGAAACATTACCACTTAAAAGAATCTCCTGTGCTGACAGGTTAATAGATCTCAAAACTATGTGTTCAAAATCCTCAAAGGCATTGACAAAGGCATTGACAAAGTCATCCCAATCGACTCCCACGGAATAGATAGTGAAATATGAATCAGACATAAATGGAGTGTATGGGGAAGTGCATTTAACACTGATAATAAGAGGTACTTTTTTGCACAAACAGTTGTGGATAGAGCTATCCACATTGTTAAAGTTGACACCCTGGTTGCTTTTATAGACAGACTGAGTGAAATCCTTGGATCAATGAGCTACTTGCAACAGAACAAGCTAGGCAGGAAGAATGGTCTCTTATTATTTGCAAACTTCCTAAATATTCTAAACAAAAAACAGTCGAAGGATGACATTTTGTACTTACACTATACCCACAAAAGAACAAGAGAAAAAATTCACTGGAAAGCTAATAACCTAGTGGAAGAAATCTCTTCACCAGCAGAGGAATAAAAGGACACTGAAACTGCAAAGTACAATCTGTCCTTTACCTAAGAGATCTCATTCTGTTTTAACAGTAAAGAACAAAAAGTATTACTTGCTCATCTGAAGGTTAATACCACTGACATCAGAAGATCTTTAAAGGGATTATGGACCATTAAAGTTAATGGGTTGAAGTTCTGTGAAATATTAAGGGCACACTTTGAATAAATTTCCATATTTGCAACTTGCTAAGGGCTCCCTATTACATGAGTTACATACTAGAATAGGACTGATGATTGTTAACAACTCATCCACTGGGAGGATAATATCATAATTCATTAGAGATCCCAAGTAATACAAAAATCTAAGTTTTAACATTGATATGTCAAAAAGTTTAGTGAACTGATACATGTGTATTTTATCTTGCTGTATGCATTATTCAGTTTTGTAGAGAGATGCATTTACTTATTCTAAGAATGTTGTCCTTCTCCACCTTAAGCAAGGAATCATGGAATACTGCTGATACAGTCAGAAATTATTTTGCCTGAACGAACATTCTATTCCCACTCCAGTGATTCATGTGGGAAATGTTCAACAATCATGATGATAATCCTCCTAACAGAATCTACACTTTGTGCTTATAATAACTTTCAACACAGATCAAATGAGCTTTTTTCATTAGACTGAATCCATGTGTTAAGCATACAACTGAGTTCTCCTGACACCTGGAATATATAACACTCATGACTAGAAGGTAAATCGTCTGGAAAGCCACAGAAGGAGGTTGTGTGTTCTTTTTTATGTAATAGTGAAATTCAATAGTACCTTAGCTGATGATGCATTACACTGTGTGTATTTCACCACTGAGATGATTGTTAAAGAGAGTTGAGTGAAAATGATGTACTTATTCATGTTGTAACTCACAAAACAAACAAATATTTAAATCTTGACTGATTAGATTAAGTTTATCCTTTCATTTCAGAGCTAGTACAATAGTGACCAATAATGTCATGAGTGACAGTTGCAGCTCTACCTCTGCCAGGTTTCGATATCGGTCAGTCATGGGCACAGAGCATTATCATCTCCCATCCTTAGACAATGGCAAGCACTGGTATACGATAAGACTGGGTTTCCTGTTGTGAGAGAATTCCCTATTGTCTAGGTTTCATTGGGGTCACATCGCATTCTGCAAAAGACTGAGTTTTTTTACACATTCATGACAAGTCCTTTCAGATTGAATGAACACACCCGTGAATAAATCAAAAACATGATTAGATGTTACCAAATAATTAATAATAATGAAATATCACACAGGGAATGTATGAACTAACTTCTAGACGTTTAACAAATTAATCACAATTAAGATCGTACTAGACTGGATAAAAAGAATACACACGTGTAATTCATCAGGCTGAGGGACACCCCAAAGAGCATGTGAATAACTCCCAAAATGACAGACATCTTCATTTTATATGAATTCAAGAAGGTCAATTTATTTGAAGCTATATTCCAAATCTGAAACAAATGAAAATGGGAACAGCAAGTACTTACATGATTCATGAATTTCTCAAGACCAATGACTGATGCTGTGCGGTAGCAGCCATCAATGCAGTTTCACTGGAAATCATTTTCCCAGACTCCTTCAAGTTTGCAGTGGTGAACGTAAGACTTCAAGTGTCTCAGATGCCCAATGACCATAGATCAAATCCGAACAAATGGTATCTTCCCTACCTATCTGTAATTCTGGTAATTCATTGTTAAAAAAGTTATAGTGTATCAAGATATTGTATTAGGAGCAAGGTCATGTTTGTGCAGCACATACTGGAATTATATTTTGTAGGAAAAGACCTGTGCCTAAGTAATAAACACACATGTCCTTTGCAACAAATATGATTTGCATTTTCCTTGAAAGATATTCCAATTATTTTTCTGTGAGAAATGACATTTATCATGAGCATGAGTCAAAAATTCGAGTATAGCAATTGCTTGTTAAAACAAATATTTTTGTCAAGCGATACAAAGTACACAAGCATTTGTACTGCTACCAGCCACTAAACTCAACATTACACTTACATTAGCTTATAATACAATAATGCACGCCTACATTATAGGCATATAGACAAATGGTTGTAGAACAAAACCTTCCAAAGGGTCAAGTTTTTGTTTTTATTGATTTGCAGTGTATACTACATAGAAGAAGTGAAAGCTGGTTGGGATGGTACTTGGCCTTTTTGCATTTAAAGAGAAAAAAATTACACAGTTCACCCAGTAAGGCTATTTACAGGTCAAGAGAAGAACTTCACTCCTGCAGCTTTAGCTGAAATTCAATCTTCAAAATGTTTTTTTTTTTCAGTTGACTGAGTGAGTCTAAACACTGAAATAGACCTTCAGGGATGTTATCTACTAGTATGAAAATACACATTACCATGAGATATTTTACCCAGAGGCATGTGTTAGTCTTTGGGATTAGAATATATTGACTTTGAAATGCTAGAAATATTCCGAAATATGATGAACTGTATGCTTATTTTCTTTCTTACATGTTTAACAAACCTACATATCTTGAAACCAAATGTCACAATCTCTTTTTTGTAAAGTCAGTATTAGAAATATTGAATCTGTATTGTAATCATAACAAGTATGATTGAAAACAGAAATACTGCTAGACAGAATGACAATGAATATCAATTTTGGCAATAGACAATTCCATATCATTTATAATGTGGTTTTACTGTGAATGAATAAGTTTATGGTGAATTTAGTTTTGTCCTTGACATTTTAAGGGATTAAAGATAGAGCTCATATACTGTGTTTTTACCAAACAGCATTATACAGGTGAAGTTGTTGACTAGATTTTTAATGTTACAGGGAATGTTAATTTGTTTGTAAGAGTCAGTAAATGGGGTGGCATGGTGGCACAGTGGTTAGTTTCCCTGCCAAGCAGGGCTGGGCCCTCAGTTCCATTCCAGATCTGTTGTCTGGGTGGATTTGTGTATGTTCTCCCTGTGTGGGTTTCCTTTGAGAGCTCTACCCACAGTCCCACAGTCCAAAGACATACTTCGATTTGCTTCAGGGGAAAATTGGCACAGTTTGAGTTGTGTTTGAGTCTGTGCATGCCTTGTGATGGACTGGGGTCCAATCCATGGTGTACCTTGCCTTTCGCCCATTGCTTGCTGGGATAGGCTCCAGCTCACCCGTGACTCTGTATTGATTAATGTGGTTGGAAAACGGATGGATGGATTCAGTAAAAGAAAGCTGTTCTCTCTCATGATCAGGTAAAATATTTAAATATAATTTTTCACTCACAGGGTCAATTCCAAAGGGATAGGGACTTCCTGAAAAGACGCCAGGAGTAACTGGATCAAGCTGTAGTATCCCTGACCCATGTAATGTCTGGTTGCTGGAAAAAAAAAAAAACATGTATTCTATTGTACCCAAGAAATCTATGCATGGAAATATGAGTTGTCAACATGTCTATAATAAAACTACAGAGGACGCATGGGAGTAAAAAAAACCTTATAAATATTTTTACAGCAAACATGATTAAGTTCTGGTACAGTATATAACAAAATGGTTAATTTTATTAGTGTTTAAATCCTGACTTACTTTTCAGTAAGCTTTTAGTAAATTATACATTTCATTGAGTAAAAAAAATTATTAAAAATATGGAACATGCATATTATAAGTAAGCTGCAGAACTTATAAACATGCCCACAAGGTATCAATTACATTTAATACATATCCAATCAAGCCCATTATTGAAACTAACTTATGATTAATTTGTTCTTACCAATCAGTGCTTCATACAGTATGTTTTCTTTGCTATCATTAACAGAGTTTTGGGTTTACAATGGAGGTTCTACAAAAAGAATTACTCATTGACAATTTGGCTTCTTAGAAGCATAGATAAATATATTATTATATAAGGACATTAATATTTTGACTTAGAATGAACATCCTTATAACTTTGGGAGGATAAGACCAACAATTGTGATGAAGTATGGGTATCAACATTAATAAGCCCTTTGTCCAGTCATAATCATACAGGAGGTGGGTTGTCTTAAAATTTACAATGTGTCAGAACCATCGTTTCCTATAAGCCATCTGACTTTTAAAGATTTTCTGTAACATATACCTCCATGGTCCATTTGGATGAAACATTGGTTTAACTCTCCAGGAGGAGCCAAATATGTTGAAGGCTTTGGAGAAGCAGTCATTATAAATGAAGCCGGTGTATATTGAGAAAATGCCCATCAGTAGAATGATGTATCTCCCATTGAAAAGAATATCACTTATCTAGAGGAAAAATGTAAATGAGATTATCAAGATTATTTATTATTTGATAAAAGAGTAATTTAAAAAAGATGCTCAAAGAGTGCAGTATAATTAAATCAATTCCATGTATTGATCTTATATTCAACTTATTTACCTTTATTTCTTAAGATGCTCAGATAACAACAATATTGTGGCAGGATGTTCATATTTTGCCACTTCACCCACTAACTAATGCTCCATTTTAAAGCTCACACAGGGTGAACAGAAGCACAATCTCTGGTACAGATGGTACTGTACTTGATTCAAGTCCATCTAATTTCTGAAGCATAAAACTTTCTAATTTTTAGTCAGAACTCTGTTGATCTGAGATGCATGCTGTTCAGCATCTGTGCAGTGGAGGATGAAAATACACATTACCTTTGTTGGCCAGATAGACACAGGGCACATCTAGCTAACCATACATAAGGGCATAACGAAGCCAACAACAAATCTGCTAATAACACAGAATTTCCATTTTAGTAGAACTGTAGAATGTCATCCTATACTGATGGTTTTCAATTTTTGGTCATAATTTGTCAAGTGACAATCTAAATAACAACCTCATTTTTAAACTTTTTGAATTGTTCTTCTTGTATCACCATCCAGGTCGCAAAGAGTGTCATGATTAGTCCATGACCGCAGTCTCCAAACATCACAGCAAACAGAAAAGGGAATGTGATTATTGTATATGGCGCTGAAAGACAAAAAATTAACAAAACAATTATCCAACTGATTTCAACACCTCTTGCTGTACACACTATCATATAAAAGGATGAAATAATTGTGGAGGGGTATTATGTGTTATGAGTATGGTTTGTTAGCATAGAAATACTTTCTATAAAAATGAAAAACAATTAAAAGTGAAAGTGAGAAAAGAACTAATAGAGTGCATATAATATAATAAATACACTGCATTTTCAGAAATGGGATTTCTGAAATGATTCATGCCATTAATGTACAGTAGGTGCTTGTCTGGCTGCTTCAAATTACTTTTGGGATCCTGGTCACATTCAGCTAATGAAATAGATGAGACACAAACAAGCAATAGCTTACTAAGGGTCTTAACCTGAAATCCTAATTAGAGTTTTTACTTCTTGAGCCATTAAAGAGCCTCAAATGATAATATATGTCATCATTTAATTGCAATATATATACACAACAATTACTGTATGTCCATAAAAAATAAGCTTCCCCTCCAACAGACAGAATTCCCTTTACAGCAGCACAGAAGTACATCATCATGTAGAAGTACTACAGTTTGGAACACATATTATTACTTTTATCAAGACAAACTATCAAGTAGATTTAAACTGATATGAATCACATGGTTTGTCATAACCATTTATGTTATGGCTCAAGGATGAGAATTGGTCATTTTAAAGCAGCTGGGCATTTGAATTAGCTAAAGTACATTTTAGTATTCTGAACATATCCAGGTTTACAGCTCTAGTACGTGTGCCAATTAAGACCCTAATAAAACCCCTAAAAACCAAAAGAAAGCATACAAGGTGGTAAAAACAGACAAGTCATTCCCATTAATTGTGAAACTGTGAGTAAAATAACATAACTGTTGCCAAGTGGTATAGCTTTCATTTCAAAGTCTTCTAGCTCAGTATGGTGAAAATGTTATGAATTGTATGTTGCCTGGATTACATTTTCATTTGATTTTACAGTTTGATCTCAGACATGCTAAGGTGAATATAGCAAACCCCTAGTTGCCTTGTCACCTGGGTTCATCTCTTGGTAATTGCCCACTCCATACGCATCAATGATGTTCTGGAAGCCTGAAGTGAAGGAGTTGGTCCTGTTAAAGGTGGGTGGGATTTGTTGAGTCTCCAGTCTGTTCAATACAGGACACAAACTGGAACCACTCTGCTCCTGGAAGGGTAAGCGTACCGTTTTAGCAAGTCCACTTCCCATTGTTTAGGGCGAGATTTTAAAGTTCGATTCTGTCAGCTCAAAATGATGTCTCTAAAATTAATAAATTTAGAGTTGTCATAAATGGAGTAAATTGAACTTTGTTCGTCCACAGTACGCCATTATCAAGTCAGAAGAACGTAAACTAATGAAGGTCCTACGATAAACCTCTCTCAAAGTATTAGTACAGTTACATGTAAGTAAAATGTAACAACCAACTCCCAAGTCCACTCAACTGAACACTTAGTTCCATTTGGCTGTGTCTGTAGAATTGACACTGGCAGGTGAGCCAGCCTAGAAACATGAGCTCCTTCAACCCAAACTTGACCTATTTATACAGACTTGATTGAAGAATGATGACATTCTGAGCATACACTCATCATGAATAGTCACGTTATATTTACTTTGGAAGTCACATGATTAAGCTTTGTCTTTGCACTATTTTTCTGTATCCTTGGAAGTTTCTTCAACTTCCTGTGTTTAACCGGTTTATTTATCTTATCTATTGTGCCTATTACACATATTGCAAACGACAGGGCATTCTGTGGTTCAGAATGTTAAACTGGGGATATTCTTTCTAAAAATATCCCATCCTGAGATAAATCCTACTTTCTTGAGGTCCTGACACAAACATTCGCTTGTTACTCTACCATCTTGATATTTAGAAAATACTTTGAATACTCTTTTGGGAGACTGATGTGACTACATGACATTTTCAAGGATTAATCATACATTTTGATATACAAATCCATATTCCACTAAGATAACATTATGAAAGAAAATGAAAGGTTAAGCTTGTTTTTTTTAAAACAATTTGTTGTTGTGAGGTATTGACAGCACTTTGTAGGATAATTAGAATCTCTACTCTCATAGATGAACAGAAATATTGTTCTCTTAAGGAGTTAAAAGACTACCTAGGAGTATTGTCATAATTTACAATGTGTCAAGTCTTAGGAAATCTTGAAGTTACAACAATATTTTTGTACATTCTTTCTCTACCAATGTTTAGAAACTATTACAATAGGATATTTGCATTAATTCTTAACTGAACCCAGGTATCAGTGTTCCCTAGCACAGCCTTAAGGTATTATGAAACTTTCAGCATGTTGTGGCTCTAGGATCAGTCACAGCAATGGTCATTAGCCAGCTGAATTACAGGGAAATGATTTTGCTACCCTAACTGCTGCAAATCTCCATGCAGTGTTCAGGGAGCAAAAAGACATATGTAAGTGTGCCCAGTTGGGCTTTGCTGAGACCAATTAAAACAACCCTAAGGAAGGTTTCTTTCAGGTTAGCTCTATTATGCAGTCATGTGTGTACAGTTGCAGTATAATCATCTGCTTTTAAAAGTACTCTGTTGAAATGCCCTGGACAAAAACAGCATTTCTCCAATTCTGCCATTTTGCTAAGAACGAAACATCACCAGCTAGGTTAGTTTTTTAATTAAGGGCATAGATTATTCTAGATTTAAATTTAGCCAATGTGACCTGACTGCACATAAGGGAGCCTGGAGGCTAAATGATGTAGAGATCATAATAATGAATCACTTCAGCTGCAGGTTCATGCTATCTGGTAAGAGAAGCTGCATTGATTTAATTTTTCAGACATCTTCCCAGGAAATAATTTTTCATTACCTGAAACCTTTGAAGCATTCTTCCAAACCACAGAGGCAATCCCAATAAAACATTGTTTTTTTTTCCTTTATGAGCACTATGAACAACTTAAGGGAGGGACTCTTGATTTGCCAATACAAAGAATCACCAAGACAGATGCAGACACATTTGTGAGGCAGGTATACATTCAGGGAACCAGAGAATATCCACACTTTCATATTTGAAAGTATAAAGTGACAAGTGTCTTTATATGGTATGTTCCACATGAAAAAAAGCCCCACCTCACTGAGGTTATACATTTCTTAACATATTATACCTATATTCAATCAATACATCTGGGCATCACTTACAAATCACCAGAGTAGACTGTACTTGCAGATCCTCAGTCATTCACCTACTCACTACTATACTGCTGTACACAGCTTTTGTATGGAAAACACAATGAACTGGCATTTTGGTCATTGTAATTCTTCTCAGCTCAATTCAACTTACAGTATATGAATAAAGTTTTTAATCTTTTAACACTTCTTTGGAACTTTCTCACAGAAGGCGAAGTGTGATATAGATACTGTATATACAGTATACTGAATTGTTTTTTTATAGTGTGACCAATGTAAATATATACAGTAACAGTATCATACTACCAAGACACTGGTACTGGGTAGTACGATATAATCAGGCTAGACGTGCTTGAAACTGAGCAGTGGTCAAGAAGAAACCTGGTTAGGGGTGCCTGTGTGAGGACAAGGGCAAGTTTGAAAGTGTAACAGAGTTTAGTGGGTGAGATGGGAGAAAATGTCCATGAGTCAACTACATCCTGGGCCTGGACCTGGACCTTTAAATGTTTTCAAACAATCAAAGTTCTCATAAAGCTAATTATTCTCCAGTACAAAATAATTCTAAAAGTAAGCCTGTGAACCACCTGATTCAAGATAGGGAATTGATAGTGAGGTAAACTCTGACTACCTTTTTACAGGGAAGTGTATCTCTTTGTCTTTATTACACCCAAACATTACATTTGAAACTTATAACTAATGAATTAAAGTCTTCATAACTTTTACTGGCTAATATTATAGTCTCTGAAGTAAGAAATGAAGTAAACTTTTCAATTAAGTCATTCCTTCAATAGAAAACAAACAATGTATAACTTTGCAAAGGGGATGATTTCAGTGAAGGAAAGAGAAACAGCAAAAAACAAAACAGTATCTGTTTTTTTAATTATTGTGCCAAAACATTAAAAAAAAGAAAGTTTTCAGTTTGAAAATGTTAAATTAAAAACAGGTCTTGGACAGGTCTGGGTACTGTATCCCCAACATGATACATGCCCCTCTTTCCTTGTGAACAACAATTACATTTAAATCACTTACACATCCTTTGATTAATGCTGCGTTGACTTTGGTGAGGTCAGACGCTGGACACCAGATCTCAGCAATAATTAACTTCTGGGTGATGTCTAGGTTGCAGAGGTTCAGTGTGTAATAAATGGCCTTCATCTTTTTCACTTTGGTGTTCCATTCATGAAGGCTGGCTGCTGTGGAGGTTAAGATACTTTCCCGGTATTCATCAGTCTGCCTTAAGACCTTTGGGTAGAAGAGAAATCCCACTGTTTATTTGGAATCATCAATTCTGTGAAGAGCTGCAGCAGAGAATTACACACTCAGTGATTAGGGTGATCCAAGTTATGACCTGTGATTCCCAAAAAAGGTGTTAGCTGTCCTTTCTTTTATTAAATCAAAAAATTATAGCATTTTTACAGATCGTATCATTTTAGCGACTGTTTGTCTGGACAACCCCTTGTCAGGTTTGTAAACTGAGTTCATAGTGTTTCATTCTGTACAGTTTTTGAACATTTCTGGTCTCTCTAGAAGATTTTTTTAACTCTTTAGTAACATTTTCAATATACTTGTACTACTTTTTTACACACATCATTGCACTTGTTTCCATGAACTCTCTTGGCACTACTTACTTTTTAGCATTTCCCATTCTCATTTAAACATGAAATAAAGTCTGAAGCTATCTTATAGTATTACAATTGATATTTTTGGTTTTATTTTTTTATTTGCCATATTAATTTGAACCAATTGCTTTAATTTATCTTAAGTGAGTTCAACTAAATTACAACGGCATGTGTAATTAATGCTTTGCAAAAGGACTGTGATCCCAGGAAAACAATAAAAGGACAAAAAACATGCTAAATATGCTGTAGGATATACTGTATATGATTATATTAAATGTAAGTTCGTGCTGAAGTTGATATTATTTAAAAATAAACACTGAGATTCTGACTCCAGATTTATTCTACATCTATCAGGTTAAAATTGCCAGTTGTCAGATTCTTCTTTTTTTAGTTTTTTGGAAGACTTTCGTGTATCCTTCACACTTCATTATTGACTGCCTTCTTCCTCAATCAATCTGCAGTATTTCCACCAAGCACACACAAGCCAGATCCCTGGACAGCTCTCACTGGCAAACAGCTGTCATATCAAGAATGTGGTCAGAACTGTTTCCCAGAGAAAAACACACATACAAATAATGAACACTACAACAAGCATTAAATGAACAATATCACCTTTACCGGTTTGCTGTTTTTTTTACAGTCAGTCTTGATAATCATAAAAAATCTCAAATATCCCAGACATCACTTTGCCCATGTTTCCGGGCGTGATTTCCAATAACTCCTTCCTCTCTAAAAAATGTTTGACTGGTGTTCCTTACAACCTTTCTTACTCACTGACAGTTTGTCTCGCATTTCTCTATTACTGTACTTTCCCCAAGTCTTTCTGATGTTAATGCTTTTTGTTTCGCACGTGAACTCGCAAAATCAATTTTCCATTGTCTATTGCCCTCACCTCAAAAATAAGATATGTCTTCTAGTTAATTAATTAATGTATTGTTGTATCATCGTTTCTTGGATATGCTAAACATGTAGTGCTGATATAACAGCCTGTCCTTTTCCTGTTCCTCATGTTGGTTTAGCTGGCATTTCCATTGTGATGTTATGGCACCTCCTTCTTTTCTTGCTGCTTAAACTTACCTGTCCGTTTCACTATTTTTTATTTCTCTTTTTACATTATGCAGCTCTTTCCCTTTTCTTCCTCTGTCTATCTCTTTATCTCCCCCTCACTCTTGCCTTGTTCTCTCTATCTATGAACCTCAGGGATAGAGACAACCAAATCAGCTTGAGCTGATTCAATAGTGAATTATTTTCTATAGTTCTTTTCACAATTAAATGAACTAAAAAATAAAAATGATGTTTAAGTGATTTATACATTTTATATCACTATACATACTGTACCACAAATCTACCAGGCCAAGAAAAAACATCTCTGTACATGAGGATCATTTGTTCATGTTAGAACTTGCTATATTCAGGTAATGTATGACATGGCTAGGAACCTCTTCATTTCACAAAAACATGGAAATCTTACTCCACCCCCAACCACAGGCCATATCCACGTGATAACTATAAGGTTCAAGCCATATCTTTGTCAAGTTCCAGTCTACACTTAATTGTGACAGACTAATTCACCATCAAGGGCAACCTGGTCAACCCATAAATCACAGCAAGGGAAGACCTGTCCTCCAGTAGGTTTCTCTCACTTACCATTGTGACTAATGATACAACCAAAGAAATTCATCAGGATGTTCAGCACAATAATCACATACAGTTCCCCTAAGACTTCTTAACCTTGATGTATAATTTATCTACTTTTCTTTCCCCCCTCCATGTGTTATTTTATTATCACTATTTTACATGACTTTGAGGATCTAAAAGACCAAGCAGCCTCATAGTGCAATGGGCTGAAAAGCCTCTGATTGTCTGTGCTCTTTTTTATTGTATTTTGTCCTTGTACTGTGACTGAAAAAGTGGAAGAGAATCTGGCCCAAAATATTGAACGTTTTTCTCCATACTATACAAATAGCACGATACTCATTCTGACTTTGGTTACCTGCCCCACAGTTTTACTGAGATCAAGTACACTGTTCCTTCTACACCACAAATTCTAGGACAGAAGCATTGAAACTGACAATAAGATGAGCTGTAGACCTTAGTAAATAAATTACTCTGAATTTAGCACATGAACACACTTTAAATTTTAACATATTCAATTAAACAGATCTGGAAGTGCAAGACATGCATGCTTTCTTTTATTTTAATAAATGATATCCTGTATACTTTTTTCTTTAGTCCAGAATGCATGATATGCCTGACTGCCAAAAGACAATACTGACCTACAGTACCTAAGAAAATGTTGGCTTTGGTAACAGCACTCATCTAGCTAAACAATCAAAAATACTGGGACTTTAGAATTAAGAACTAAGAAGAACCTCTGAAATTTTCCATCAAGAGTAATGCAAAGAGGCAGATCAGCTGGCAATTTTCCTTTTTGGAGCTTCTAGGAGCTATGATGCCAGTTTTAAACGTATTTTAGATGATTCATTAGATTTGTGATTACTGATACAGTCTTGATACAGTGAGGGAAACTGAAACACTCATGTGAGGAACAGCAACACAATTTGCAGACAAGCGCAATCCCAACTGTACTTCATAATTTTTAGCGATACTATAAAGAACTCAGCCAAATTCTGCCTGCCAATCCACTAAAGAGCTGAGATTCTTTAATGTCCCAGAGAAGTTTACATGCAAACATAAGAAGTTTACAAATGAAGAGAAGACATTTACATTTGTCTGATTTATCTTACGTGACTGGTTCCTAATAACTACTGTGATTTATTTTCATAAAGGATCCTACTGAGCCAAAGTCAATAACTTAAGCACTTTGCTCCAGATCACATGACTATTCGTATATTAAGCCCTAGTTTAGTTGGCTCATTAGCTATCTGTTCTGAAAAAAGTTTAAGTCTAAGAATATGTCTTATGTCAGCTGTCACAGGTTTGCATTGGTTTGTATTCAGTCTTAGCTTATCCTTGTAATCTATCCCTGGATTTCCTGAGAGCATAGTCTTACCTGATGTGAAATGTTTGAGGAAGTACTGTATGTTATTAATGTATCAACTTACACAAGACAGAAGAAAGGTTATGCAGCGCTACAAATACTACATTTATTATACTTCTTTGCAAATGACTTAAGCTTGGCTGGACCCCAGGTCAGATGGTGAATAAAACAAAATGTCTCTGCCATGCAGTTGCTTAAGTTGTGCTTTTGGGATATGGGTTAGCTGCAATTTTAGCCGTTATAATTATGGTTGACCTCCAACATATTTTAACTCTGTTTATATCAGCTTTAATTTATTTTTCTATTTTGCTGATTTTGCTGAAAAAGAAAAAAATGTTGTCACTATGTTGTCATATTGTCATTATGTAATTTTGCCCTGTAGTGTTCCTAAATTTGTTTGAGCTTAACTTGCCACTCACCGTTTGTAAATCCTCAATGCGCAAGTCCACACTAGTCCTCATTTCCATTCTTGCATGTACAGTGTCCGGACATGGGTACAAACTGGCTTGGAAACTGCAGAGAACATGAGTATGCCCGAAACAGTTTCAATTAAATGGATGCAATCTTTTCAGATCTTTCCATAATAAAACAATGTGACATACCATGGTAAAATCAGAGCAAAACGAAGGAAAAAAGACTGAAAGCATAATAAAAGCCTTACTAGTAATTAAAGAACATACCGTACGGTACACATCATTATAATGCAAAGCAAAAGTATGGCATAAGCATGATAATATAAATAGCATTGCATGCAAAAATATTCATTTTCTATGGTTTTCTTTTATTGAGGAATGTACTAACAAATGTAATGTTTGAAATGGCAATTTAATTGATTTAGGAGATGTGATTCTTTCCAGCCCGCTGTGAATGGAAAAGAGTCTACAAGGAACTGAATATTCCTTCAGGGCAAGGTTTAGCCCAGTGATAGGGCTGTGTTACAGCAGTATTATAGTGTGGCTGTAAATTAGCTGTAATGTGCTATAAATGCTCTATCCAGTGATACAGGTTTCCCATTTCCAGTGCTGTTTGTCCAGCAGCTTTAGTGGATAAAAAATAAACCAAAAAAAGGAAAGAAAATTGTATAGGTAGCCTGTGAATATTAAGCTGCAAGTACTGTTTTCTAAACCTCACTTTAGTTTCAATCATAAATGTCATAGATTGAAAATATAAATGTGTGCTTATTTTTATTGCAGTTGAGCTTTCAAGGTGAGGCATAATAAACAACCGTGCAAAATGACCTTTAAAAAAACCCATAATTATTATAAGTACTCCTTATCTGTAAAGCAATTGCTGCTGGTACTATAAATCCTCTATATCTTTTTTGTAAAGGTGTGTCAAATTGGCAATCTTCAGCTTTCTTTTTTTATTATTTCTTCTGCTCAATTAATACGTGCTTCTTACTTGTTTTGAAGTAAATTAAGTGTCCACATCATAAGAAATAGTATTTTGGACAGCTTTGTCAAAGATAGCTCAGTTCCTGTAATAGCTGCTTTAAAAACTGATTTTGTGAAACAGTCACTCACCCCTCACATATTTTTCTCGTCTTGCCTTTGAACTGCTCTCCCTGTAAGAAAACTATGAAGATATCTTTCTTGACAAGCTCCTCCTGTTCAGAAGATTTAAGGAAAGAAGTTAGTTGTGTTTCTTGTACAAGCATTGCTCAGACTCTGTTGTGCATTGTAACCAAAGCATTTTAAAGGAGAAGTAACCTTTTTTATAGTGATTTATCCTGTGTATTAAGTGTGAGTTGTATTAGAAACACCCTCCTCCTGTTTAGAATATACTGTACAGTACATGCCTCCCTACTAACCCTAACATTCATTATACCAGATATACAGTATATTGGTTGATATAGCCTTCTACACCTTCTGGTATACAACACAGTATCTGTGAACTCAGGATTTCCTGAAAAGCACTCATAATTACCAGTACATTATGATGATGATAATGATGACAATGATGATGACTATGATAATGATGATGTGACTCAATATAGAGCTGTTTCTCAAGTCTTCACATTCGTTTTTATACTGCCCTGCAAGTCTAGGTTCCAAAATCAATCAGAACATTCCCATTTTCTGCCTGCCACTGTAGCGTTTCTGTATCAGCTCTATTTCAATCGATAAAGTGTCTACCTTAAATTTGACACAGTGTTGTTTTCACACTATTGTGCTTTGTAGGATCAGCCAAGAGACTGTCATTTGATGTGAATCTGGCAGTGGCACACAGCATATAACATTTACTCTACCAAGAGAAGGTCATGATGCTTATATTACACACAGAGACCTTTTCAGCACTGTGCCATAAAACTGTACCAGTCTGCACACTCTACGCTAAAATTGAATAATTTAGCTTAAACACTCAACATTGTACATTTGTTGATTAAAAAATGTAATGTAATACAATCATTTAAACTCTGACACAACAAAATTGAATAGACCTTAATAAAGTTCCTATTTGTCATACAAAGTCTTACTATAAAAAATCAACAGCATCATGATCATTCCCTAGTATGGGCTGCAAACAATCGACCTAGCAGGCTGAATTTACTTTGTGTATGCTGTCAGCAGATGCTACAGCAGTAGCTTTTGGTACTCTGTGTTAGGCTTTGAACTTAGAGAATTACCCTCACATACAGTATATGACTATATTGTTCAAGAACAATACTGAGCAATGACTTGTAGGGAGTTAGACTGTATCTGAGCCACGTTGACTCATCCGTCCAGAGCTTGTCCTGGTTTCCATGGCATTAAGCAGAGAGCACATGACTCCACCCTCGTCCTGATAGGATTATCAGTTTGGTGTCCCTATTCATACAGGTAGGTGGAGTGGAGAAATCAGAGTACAGTACCTCATTCACTGTCTGCAACAAGGACTTGAACCCACAAGCCACCCACTATCAATCCAGGACATATCCACTATGTTAGGCTGCCTCCCAGTGATACAGTATATACAGTAGATAAACAAAACATTTTTGCATGCTAAGCTGATAAATTCACACTTTCTGAAGGGCTCAAAAGGTTGACCATTTAGGGAGTGTCAAGCAATATGAAGAAAAAAACCTCAGACTGGATGTGCCCATTAAGTAACGTGACAAAAAGTGTCTTTTTTAATGGAATACGTTATACAATAGACCTCACTTTCATTTCAGACAGGGAGCAGTTTGACCCTTTAACAATCATGGTCCTGAAGTACCATTAAAGCCGTCTGTAATGATTGTATTCTCATGTCTGACTCAGACAGCTCTAATCCCAAGGTGCATCTGAAGTACTCAAAACCCATGCCTCCATTAAGTGCCCATTGGATGATTTACGAGTCTTCCAGGAAGAGATAATTAAAGCAGAAGTCTGAATGCCTATTGACATGAAACGACTCTAAAAAGGCCAAATGTCTAAGTGGTATCGCCGCTGCAAACCAGGAGAAAGAAAGGCCTATGCACATACGTGGGTTAATCGCAGTCATGCATCAGTGTACTAAAAGCAGCATAATATGTACTGCTTTGTCCTCACTTTAGAATGCAATGCCATGATCCAATCATTTCTATGAATTCATACTGCTTAACCTAAACATAGAAAGAAATAAAAAGCTAACATTTACATACAGATGAATGCATATGTATCCTGAAGTGTCTGCCAATGAATTGCAGTAAAATACCCATAAATACATCAATATATACATTAATGAATTAATATATAGAGCATTTATTTAAGTGAAAGGACAACAGACAGTGGGGAACCAGGAATGAGATTTTAAATGACTCTTTTCTTATTACTATAGAACACCACCAGGGGGCAGACATTTACAAGGCAATCAGTTTTATGCGTCATCATCTATTGTTATTGTGTTACCAAATACAGTAAGCAAAGAGTAATGCTTTTTGGGGTTTATCGTTATAAAAGACTATTTTAAGTATTTTCCTTTCCTTTAGGAGATTCCGAAGTAGGGAACACATCAATTTTAAATGGCCCATTCAAAGTTAAAAAACCATACAGGAAAAACAGTTCGGAAAAGATTCACTGTTTTTACTCCGATCTTTTTAACAACTGAAAGTACCTTATGAACACATAAAAGAAGAAACTTCAATAAAACAAACCCTATTTCAGAGTCCTTATTTACCTACTGTGCAGCCTAGAATAAACACCGAGAGGCACAAACTCCAGTCATGAAAGCAAGATAAACCTTCAATGTCAATACAAAGTAGGTGCTCAGAACAATAAATATTTATTTTACCACATTGTTGCTGATGCATTGATTCTTTTTATGTGATTAAAATAAATAAGGATGCTAGTCAGGCTGAGCACTCTATTAACATTTAAACCCTCGTTACTGTTTTGCACATACACATTTGTTTGCCTATTATTACATTTGTGTAATCCAATGAAACATCATGTCAATATTTTGAGAGTCAAAGTTGAATAACCAAAAGAAAATGCCAACAACAAGCCTCATGCAGCTATTTAAAAATTTAACTTCATTAGTATTCAAATAGGTCATGAAAGTTCACACATCTTCTAAGTGTGAATAACATGAGAGACTACGCAAGAGCTATTGTAACTTTCCTTTGTTCACTTTAGCACTGTTCCTTTATCACAAAACAAGCCATAATCTCTCCCCTAGTCTTAAGGTACTTCAAAGAACATCTCCTATTTGTCTTAGAATTAAACAATTATGCATTAAAATATCATGGGAATTATACACATTTAGATAACACTAACAACAAATATTTGAAAAGAAGGATGAAGCCAAGGTTTCTTACACCAACAAAGTCTTCAGATGGTGCTTGAATTTCTGCATGTCTCAAGACAAAATTTCCATGAAACATTCTCCATAAGACTTTTTCAAAGGCAGGGAATCGCTCTTGCTTGATAACACCAGCCACAAATCTACAGTAGGGTTTAAAGAAAAAGGATTGAATTAGCTGTGAAAACAGATGGATAGTGGACTTTGTGTATAATCTGATATTATTCCTGTTTGATGACCAAGTTATCATAAAGTCCTCGTTTCTTTGTTAATGTGCTTCATCCAATTTCTTTCAACATGAAAGGAGACTCCCTGAAGACAGATACTTGTGTAAGATTTAAGATTTTCTTTTAACACTGGAAGATGAAATTTCAGAAGGATAAACACAAGAGGAATACTGATAAGACATCTTTGAGACCAATAAGAGCAGCATGAAAATGTCAACAGATGGACAAGGCCTAACGTAATATGATATGTCAAGTTAATATTGAATGCAGTGACTGATGAGATGATTGTAGGATAGATTTATTGACCTGGATCATATAACTGCATCTTACTTTTTTTATACAACTGATCATCATTTTAAGTGTACTTTATACCTGGCCTGGCAAGAACATTAGTTGGTCTGAGCTCATGTCATAGGTGTAGATTTATTTTTTATCTGAACCCATTTAAAAAATAGCAGTACTAAAGCATTAACTGCTTGTGTGAGCACAATATATTTGGGCAAGCCAGCATTTCCTTGATGAAGGCCGATTCCAAAATATTGTCTATAATTCAAAACAAAATGGGACATCATGGGAGAGGCGTGAATACTTCTTTAAGGCACTATGTAAACAATTAGGTGGTTGAGTCCCATTCTTTTTGAGTTGCTGACACTGCATATGACTTCTGGGATTCTGATAAGTTCCGAAACAGGTGATTTTAGTTGTCAGGATCCCTATTTGTGAACCTCCTACCAAATTAATTCAGAGGGTCCATATCAGTCTCTATGTTTATTTAAATATATTTAAGATCTGTTTTCCCAAATTCAAGACTTTCTTCTTCAAACTGACTTCAAAAACTTCAAAACTCTTCAAAAAAAGAGTTCAAAAACTCTTCAAATGTTCATATTAGTTTCTTAAAAGAAGCTAATCCTTAGACAACATGACTGTGTAGCTTGTTCCAAATCAAAACAGTTTTCTAGAATCCAGTGGCTTGGTCCACACTGAGAAGACTAAGAAGAAATCCAGGCAGATTTCTCAGCTGAACTCTGTCTTTCTTTTTATCCAATTCATTAAGCGGCAAGAGAATTTGAATTTAATTGATAATAGACAGTATCAAACAAGTTGTTGCAGTAGTGGCTGATATATTAAATCAAGCATTTTAAACTGGGGATACCAATGAAAAAAGGAAAAAGGACACCTCCATGGAACCAAGATAAATAATGAGGCAATTAAGTGAATCATTTCTGAGACCTGGGCATTGCTTTAATGTATCACAGTGCTGTGAATGTTAATGAGTCTGCTTCTAAGAGGACAGTTTTACAGAATGAAAGAAAGTCATCTTATAAAGTCTTTAATTTCCATTGTAATTACATGATTACAGAATATAACTGGAAGAAAACGTTAATCAGAATTTAACAGATTTCCTCCTGTTTGCTCAAACCTTGCAGTCCTGTTTTTTTTTCCAATGGTAAAATCGTTTAAAAAAGAAAACTTCCAAAAAAACTTTTTTCTTTGTCACTGATATCCCTGGATGTTAGTCAGAATTTTAAAAAAGACTGCAAGCCCAATTACGAATTCTGTCTGACATTAAGAGTGATAAGTTAACTCTTGCACCATTTGCAGTTCTGAAGTGAACACAATGGTTTATAATAATAATAATAATAATTGCTTACACTTATATAGCGCTTTTCTGGACACTCCACTCAAAGCGCTTTACAGGTAATGGGGTCTCCCCTCCACCACCACCAATGTGCAGCATCCACCTGGATGATGCGACGGCAGCCATAGTGCGCCAGAACGCTCACCACACATCAGCTATTAGTGGGGAGGAGAGCAGAGAGTAATGAAGCCAATTCATAGATGGGGATTATTAGGAGGCCATGATTGGTTAAGGCCAATGGGAAATTTGGCCAGGACGCCGGGGTTACACCCCTACTCTTTTCGAGAAACGCCCTGGGATTTTTAATGACCACAGAGAGTCAGGACCTCGGTTTTACGTCTCATCCGAAGGACGGCACCTGTTTACAGTATAGTGTCCCCATCACTATACTGGGGCATTAGGACCCACGTGGACCACGTGGTTTACATCTAAATTGACTGACACCATATAATTACCACTTCAAACGTCACCACAAACCTATAAAATGTCACTTAAGAGCACTTAATGTCAAAAGTAAAAGCAGGGTGGCAACTTTCAGACCTATCCTGTAAAAGTCATTTTTTACAAGAAAATCACAATTAGGTAATCATAACTGAAACATGATGTGTGTTAAAATGCCTCGAACATAATGTGATAATTTAAGCCCAGCCCAAAAAAAGAGATCATCAAAACATTAACAATATTGCATGTCCAAACATATAGTATATACAGTATGAATACTGCATGTGCAATACATTCAGCTTATTCTTACTCTGTGTTTTCCAATTTTGTTAAATGCTGCAGAAGGACAAACTTAAAGATACATTTCAAACACTAATATTTCCTGTGAGCAACGCAAGTGTTTAGAATCTTCTAAACAAATTTCAAAAATAAAAAATAGAGCAGTATGTTTAAAATATTTCAACAGAGCTTAGAAAAGCAGTGTTACATTTGACCATAGCAAAAGTGATTTTTTTTTTAAAAGAAGTACAGTAATCATCTTGCACTGCTGTCAAAATGATGTTTAAACAACATTTATTGTTCCGAATCATTCATTAAATATGGCATTCTCAAAGGTTTAAGAATTGATCTTGACCTGTGAAATGTTTCTGGAACTTGTCTCAGTCGGTACATTGCAACATTTACCCCAGTCTTAGGGGCCCTCCAGTGCTGATACTGCTTGCCCTTCTGCTGCAACGCCTTGAAGAAAAGGTTAACGATTCTGAATCTTCTGATGGGAGCTCAGAGCAGGAGAGCTGAGATTCTGCCTGTACACAGAAGAAAGATAATAAAATTACTTTCACAAATAAATCTTTCTGAGTGTTTACTTGAACCTTTTATATAGGGCTAATGGTAAAACAAATCACGTGCAGACCAGGGATACTATTGATATTGTTGAACACTGGAAAAATCTGGAAAAACGTATTTTACATATAAACGTATAAAGCATCACTTTGCAAAGTAGTTCGGGTGGGTAGCTGCTAGGAAGTAATAAGGTTTATTCCATGCTGAAAAAAAGAAGAAAGAAAACACAATGTTCTGTCCGTGGAGCCTTGACACACCTGAAGAAGGCTCCATGGTCGAAACGTTGTGTTTATTTTCTTCTTTTTTTCAGCATGGAATAAACCTTATTACTTGTTCCTTTGCAGCCTATGCATGCTGATGCAGCTACCCACCCGAACACTTTGCAAAGTGATGCATGGAATAAACCTATTACTTATCACTTTACAAATGTATACAATCTATGAGCTGATTCTCAGCAATCCAAAAAGGGATTTAAACGTACACTACCTTTCTGTACATTGCTGTATGTGTCAGGTGTAAAGGTGATGCTCAAAGATTCATTAGTGCATCCTGATGTGAAGCTCACATACTGTAGTCAGAATCTGTACAAGCCACTACATAGGGATATACTATGTTGAATCTGTAAGCTTTTCCAAGGCCAAGAAAATGACTTGTCCGGTGTTATCGGATAGTAGCTGCAGTGACTTTGGGTTAGTCATGTTTAGGTAATGTTTCAACTCATGCTAGTTTTAGGTATGCTATCAAAAATACTACGAACATCAGTTCAAATTCTTAAATACATGAAATGTCTTTAAAAAATGTATCAAAGTTTTCCAAAGAATTTGTGTAATTCTGAATTTACAGCAGCTGAAGAAATTTAAGGCAGCAAAATTAATGTTTTATTTTTGTAATTTAGTATAACTAGATATAAACACACATAGTCAATTATAGCTTATTTTGAATGTGATAAATGTTTAGTATGTAATTCCATAATAAATCGTGATTTGTTCAAATAATAACAAAAATACAAATCTCCATTACAGACTTGTGTTCTCGTTTTCAAATGTAGCCAGAGGATTTACTAATAAATTAAACCTTAAAGTCAATTTATGTTGTTTTTGAAAGTTTACATTTTTATTTTTAAAACTTCTTGATTAATTAATTTAGACCACAATGTTTAGTTTGATATCTGTAGCTATTGTTACATCAACTTTCAAGCAAATGATATTCAAGGCTTCAAAAAGATTCGGAGATGTGAATTTACTTCATCTTGGAGTGATATACAGTAGCCTGTGGTTTGATAACATAACCCATTTGGATCCATCATGCATGATCAACAAGCATAACCTTTTTCTTTCTTTTTTAACATTTGTTGTCAGTACATGAATGTTTGCGCTATTAAATCTTTAATATCCTGAAATCAAGAAGCAAAACAACAAGACCTTGGTTTAAAAACAGACAAAAATGTCTAAATTCACTCCAAACATACCTTCATGACAAAATGCATCCACACCCATTGTTTCTGAATAATGTTTAGCCTTGACTAAGTAATTGTATGCCCCTTTCTTACATAAATCGCACAAGAATATGCATTAGAAGGATGACAGTGTGATAAGTATAAAGTAGTTATGATCTACGTTTGCTTCAAAATGCCAAAACCTCAATGCCAAGTGCTTAAATTGTGATTCCTTTATGCAAGATATTCAGATAGCAGTGCTTTAGAAGAGAAGGCTAAAGTGCTTTAAGAAAAATAATGGATGGTTTGACTCAGTAGGTACCGTACAGTATAATGAAAATGAGATTTTTTATTTTGGTTCTTTTACAACATGAATGACAATTGAAATTGGTGATTAATTTCAGGTCATAATGCATATATTTATTTTATTAGGCTCTTTTTATTGCAGTATAAAAATGAGGTCCATTAACTCAGAGAGGAAAAAATGCTCAAATCTCCTAGCTCTTATTATAAGAACAATATTTGAAGAAGATATTTTATATATCTACTAAAATAATTATCCATTACAAACAATTAATTTTGGAATGACGATACATTCCCTGGCGGCTGCCTTAGTGGTGGGAATGACATATATTATTCCGAGTTTTTGATTAACATCAAAAGTGGAAATCAGAAGTCATCCACTGCACTTGAAAAATATACAATTCAGGCCATGTAACAGTTTGCTTATTTTTAAAGTTACTTTTTTAAGCTTTAGATTTTGTTTTATTTCTGGAAATGTATGAATAAACAACAATACAATATAAAACAATAAACAGTAACAAAGAGAAGTTGATGAATTTTGGAAATTAGGGAAGTAGCTGACAATACATTTAAAGTTAAATAATTTGTGGTGTCTATAACTATTTGCATTTCATCTTTGTTGAGAAATAGTACTGATTATGAATTCTGTCGGTTGCAATCATAGGCATTTCAGTTAAAACTCAAATATATGCTCCTATGTTACACATGGAAAGAAAGGGTGCAAATTGTCATTCAGATTTTACACAGTATAAACAAACAAAAAATTCCATTAAACTTTCCAAACATGATAGTCCCTCCTGTGTCCTCTGACCTTTGCCATTATTAACTTCAGTGAAACCAGTGATAGTGTAGTCTACAATTCTCTATCCTACCACATACAGTACTAGTGAAGGATTCTATGAAATACTATGGTACATATGTTATAGAGATGTATTCATGCTGTAGTATGTATGACTTTATTTATTTATGTTGTAACCTGTATAATTTTTTTTAATATTTTTGACTGTTTTTGTTCCTGTTTAATTTAACATTACCTGTTTCTCAAAGGCTTTTATTTTCTACGAGGTACAGAAGTAAACTGTTCAACTGTGTGTTTTTTTTTAAATCTGATTAGGAGGCAGATATGCAGCATACTTTGGATGGGATAATCCATACAAAGTATGAGAGTAAAGAGAAGTACAACATGTCAGAAAGACATGTTCAAAAATAGTATACAGTGTTGATACTACAGGCTATTTAATACAGTAGGTCTCCTTAAAATGGTTGACAGTACTGTTGAACGGAATATTAGGAAAACAACAAATATGTGACTGTACTTAATTATAAGCTGGTCAGACAAGTAAGATTTTTGACCAAGATATTTATGTACTCTGCCTAGCAAGTGACATTCTTCAGTGTGCTTAACTGTAACTGGGAAATTTTTCAAAATTCTATTCTTGGTGTTTTAATATGGGAAAAATTCCTTGTTGCATAAACCAACAAATAAAAAAAGCCAATGCATTTAACCTGGTATTTCTGGAACAAATGTTCCTTGGAGTAAAGCCACAGTGGAACATTTGTTAGTGAAGTCAGGGCTACACTGAGCAAGCCTGAGTGACTTGTCACACTGTATATCAGGTGAAATTATTCAGTGCTTCAAAATATCATTTTGCATTCATTTCCAACACCACTTTTGCTAGCAGTTTCACACTATGATCATCCAGAATTTGGATGGAACCTTTGTAACGTGTGTTATCCTTGGATCCCAACAAGAATGTGCAGAAAGTAAACAGTTTTTTTTTTTTTTTACTGGAAGTGATATTCATATGAATTCTGCAACCACTGATTTTTTTTTTTAATTCAAACATTGTGAAGTCTAAATGTTTGTTGTTGTTTTTTTACATATTTGATCACCTCTGAAAGAACTAAGGGTAATATTGGTTTCATAAAATTTCATACCAAGGATACACTTACAGTATTTGTAGATATAGAAAAGCAACAGGGATACTCTGTGTAGTATTAAATTAATTAAAAGTGTGGTATTATTCATTAAAATTAACTTGATGTAGTTTAATATCTATTAATTGTGTTCCTGATACCTTCCTGTCAAGCAGTATCTGTGAATCAGTCCAATTTTAATTTAGAAATTACTTTTTATGCAACTATCACAAGACATGGTACAATAGATATTCTAATGAAGATAAAATAACATTATCAAATATGGAATACTGAATAACCATCTACCCATTCCCTAACCACTTAATCCACTTCAAAGTTGCAAAGGACAACAGGTGCAAGGCAGGACACACCTTGGATAAGATGCCAGATCATCACGGTAACCTTAAAATCAATTATTTCTATACAATACAATGTCATGTCACATCATTTATCAAAACACTTTATACCATACAGTGTCGCGGGAAGCCGGAGCCTACCCATCAAGCACCGAGCACAAGGCAGGGTACACCCTGGACAGGCGCCAGTCCATCACAATACAATGTGAATCATAAAATTTACCACTTCTGAAAAGTCAGACAAAAACCAGCCGTTAAGCAATGTTTTAAATATTGTCACTGACTTAAAAACTGCACAAATGGTTGAATACACAGAGAAGGTTCTGTCTCCCATAGTTTACAAAACTCAGTTTTGGAATTGCTAAGACCAACATCTTCTGAACAAAGAGCAATTAAATGACTGTCAGTAGATAACAAATACTCACAAAATGTATAGTTTTACAGGTCAGTAAAAAAAAATATTAAGAATAATGGTTAAACGGTGCTAACAGGTGTTGATTTAATTAAAAGAAGTAATTGTTAAAAAAAGGTGAACTACAAGTTTTTGGAGTTATAAAGCCACAGCACACATACTGTTACATTTGTTCTCCTAATAATGTTTTTTTTTACCAAAATATTCCTGTTGTTTCTTAAGCACGCATGTGCATCTAATAAGTGGTGTCATGGCATATTAGTTATAACCACTGGCAAACCTGTTGAATGATAATTACGGCAAATAACACATAGAGCTTTTAGAGTTAATTGGAAAATTTAATGAGACTGCAGTTTGGCTGAAGGGGGTCTCCTTTAGGAAAAGCTTGTTTTCAATAAAGCATGCGAACATGCATTCTAATTCTAGTGGGAACCCACTAGAAAAGCTAAGAATAAAAATAGAATCCTGTTCATGTTTGCCTTCTTTGATGTCTTTATACCAGATCATTTTCAGGCATACAGTAACATGTTAAAAATGAGAGGAGCCCCTTAGATTCAAATTTGCGCCATAGAATTCAGGTCGTTTTTCTGGAAGACCATTTGCAATTCGAACCCACTGGGCTTTTCACTTTGTATCACACAACCTGTTGTTTTTAGTTCAGCAAGTCTAAATATAAATCTTTGGAAACTATTTGGGAAATGGAGTTAATATGGGTGGCGCAGAGGCTCAGTGGGTCGGTGGGGCGCTGGGTAAAAGGAGTCTGTATGTTCTCCCCATGTTTGAGTGTGTTTTCTCCTGGTCATTTGGGTTCATTCCACAATCTGAAAATAAGTCACTGGAAGGTTCATTGGCTTCAGAGAATATTGGCCCTAGGCATGTCTGTGTTGGTATCAGTTTGTCAGCCCTGTAATGGAATGGTGTCCAGTCCAGGGTGTACCCTGCCTTGCATCCATTGCTTGCCTGATCAGGCTCCTTCTTTCTTGTAGTGGAAAAAGAGGAAATGGATGGATGGAGTCAATATGATATACTATATACAACAAAAATAAATATACAGTATAGTTCATACTGTGTATGCACATGTTAAGTCTATAGTATAAACTGATTATAGAGATATTGTTTTGGATTCTAAACTAGAATATATCATTAAATTGATGCAGCAAAATTGATGGGATATTGAAAAAAGACAAATAGGCCCTACTGTATAATATATTTTGGCAAGCTCTATAAAATCTATTGCCTTCCTGAAATTGCAACATCCTTGTGTTTGCCTTCTGGGTAATACATATAACTTTGCTGCAAGTGTGTAGTAAAACAAATTAGCTATGTCACTCTAGCACAGCGTAGAATTAACACACCTGCTGGAACATAGCCCAGTATTTCTCTGGGGGCTGCTGCCACACTTTTTTGCAACTCTGACAAGGCAGAGATTTCTTTGAATTAATTTCACACTTTGTTTGTATTTTAACTAATTCATTATGTCATTCTTACTTTTTTATGTTTATCGCGTGATGGTTTCAAAACAATACTTAACTGTAATTGGATCCTGACTATTATTTGTCATCGTTCATTGTTATAACTTTCATGGGCATGTTCACACAGATGTGTATTTAGAGCTGAGAGCAGGGAGAACTGTTTTATGCAAAGCAATTTCGCTGGAAAACTTCACAAAATAGGTAGATGTGATTCTGTGTCCAATAAGCAACTTCCAACCAAAACTGCACAATAGTTCAGATGACCTCTTAATTTTCTTGGTTTCACCTTTTTGTTAATTCCAGAAATACTTCTATTTTGATATCTATTTTCAAACATGAATAATACCATAAGCCAAGCTGTCCCAAGAATAATAATAAAAACAAAATTACTCAAATCAATTGTAGCTCTGAAAAAGCTTTGAAAAAACTATACTTCAAAGGAGTATACTGGAGAAGAGAAGGTGCATAAAAGTAAAAATACATCCCAGATTACTGTATTTTTCTTTTACATTTATGTTCTGTTTAAACAAAGATGTCATGTAGTCCATATTTTTTACCACAAGCAGCAGCTAAGGAACACATTAATTAGACCTTGCTCAGGTGAATCTGTCCAGGTGGACAGAAAAAATGCAAATAATACACAAGACCAATGTCATAAGTCACACTTTTAGTTTTGCATAAGTCCAACACACTTTCAAAGTTGGGAATTCACTTGTTACGAGGTGTGTTGTTGATACCTGTTTGTAGTAGGTGGACAGCATTGTCTCAGCACTACAAACCAGAAAGAATTACAGTCACATTTTTCTTTAATAGCAAAGCTAATTTCAACTGGTCTGATGGACTGCAAAATTACCGATGCACTGTATGTAGTTATACATAACATTTCTTTCTCTGAGAATGTTTGGAAGCTCATTTTAAAAATAAAAGAAATTTGATCATTCTGTATCTAATCATACAATTATGTATACACACCTTGTGCTCATTCAGAGTACAGAGCGACATTGCTGGTTTGAAACACAGCTACCTTTATCGATAACGGCAATTTTTTAAACAAATACATAAATATTTTCAAGCACTTCAGCAGTGATGGTATCAACAACAGTATACCTTGAATGACTGACAACACATGAGTTTGCTGTGTTGTCAGCATGTAACCATGTAACTTACCACAATAAGTGACAACCCCCCTGTTGGTATTGAGAGATTTACAGTGTGAAAAATGGCAAATGATCTCAAAGTGAATGTTTTGGAGGGAAGTGTTGTGTTCATATAGCTCATATGCTGTGGGTGTAAGTACTGATGTCATGTCGATAACTAAAAATTCCAAACTGAGCATGAATACAGACAAAATAATTGCTAATTTCATTTTTATATAACAAAGCAAAATGTTCTCTCAAAATGTAACAAATCTACTGTATGCATGTTTATCTGATGCCAGTCACGAAGAGTTTTTTTGGATTCTCATTAAAGCATTGTTCTAGCTCGAAAGACATGGGTAGAATGGTTGAGCATAAAACCGAAGGCATGTACTCACTGTATGGCAATGATTAATAATATAGTTGTACAACCTTGGTCATTTTTTTATTGTAATGTGACATACCTCTTCAAAAAAATCTTCAGTCATCTGAAGCAAATATTTCATCTCCATCATTTCTGTGAAGTTCTGTTTCAGGGCTTCATGATTCGAGTTGATCTCTTTTAACTCTTGTTCCAGTTTTTGAAAAGTAGCCTGCAAAGAAAAATGAGGTCAATGGAAGATTTAGTGTTGCTTTATTCAGAGGAGACAGATAGGCCATAAGTTGACTAGTCCTGAGATTCCTACAGAATTATATCACTGAAAAGCCACAATGGGGAGAAGTAAGCATACAAACTGATACAAGGCTGAAAATCTGTTAATAAGAAAATCTCTTTTATGTACTGTATGTAAGTGGGATCTGCATGGACAGTCAAATCAGAGGACAGAAGCTGATAAACAACCTTTCTCAATTGGATTGCTTGAAACGGATAGAATAAAGGCGTTGATAATAACTTGCTTTTAGATTCACTGGTCACATAAATGAGAAGTTATTGATGAGGTACATTGAGTACTGCACTGAGTCTCCACAAGAAAACAAATAGTTGGTGTACTCTTTTCTTGAAGGCTGTCTGGCTGGGCTTTCACTGAAATGAAGCTGAAATTAATAAATGTGTTAAAAGATGGGGCGTATTTAGTGATGACATTTACTTTTAAATTAAAAAAAATCCATTTGTTTTCTAAATGTTTTATTCAATACAAAGTAAAAGAGGATGGCCTGGCAAGCAATAGACGCAAGGCAGGATACACCCTGGAAGGGACACCAGTTTATCGCTGGGCACACACAAACACGCATACACTCACAGCAGGGCCAATTTTCCCAGAAACCAGTTAACCCCACAGTCCAAAGACATACCCCATGCAAATAGTACCCCACATCTGGAAATGTCCCAGCATTGCAAACAGCAAGTGAGTTTAATTTTACATGAAGTTATTTAGGTTAATTCTTAAGATTAGATATTTGATTATGCCAAATGTTTTATGACATCCAACCTGCAGCACAACTCTTGGATTCAACTCCAGGCCAGCCCATCTTGTAAGTGGAGCCTCTATGAGTTCTCATCATCTCTATGAGTTTTCTCTGGGTGCCTACAGTATCACCTTTCAAAGGCATGCTTGCTAGGTTAATTATTGTCTCTACATTTTTTCTGGGTGTGTGTGTGTCCCATGATTGACTGGCATCTTATCCTGGGCCTTGTGCCATATGTTGACAGGATATGCCCCAGTTTGCTGCTGCCCTTAAAAGGAAGAAGTATCTTTCATGCAATTGATTAATGCAATTTTATTCTTCTGTAAGACATTACATAGTAATGTATCATAGTATTAAATACATGCTGCAGAGTTCATGTCTGAAAAAAATAAATACTTTTTTCATAGATAAATACAATTGAATCTTGATTTTTGCAGTAAGAAAATCACAAAATAGTGGATAGTTGATATTTTAGCTGTATTTTAGGATTTTTTTATATATTTCAATTCAGGAGAATCAATCTTCATGTGACTTACAATTTTTATCACAAGAGAATCAGCTGGTTTTATGTTCTTAGATTTTTTTTACTAATGGTCAAACACTATTACTATGGGCTCATAATTTCACTCTATTACCAGTGTGTAAAATTTGAATGCGTATAGGTTTACATGTCAGGGAGAAATAAAAAGTGTATTTTATTGGCACTTTTTTCACAAATATGTGATATTTGTTAAATGAAATAATGAAGAATTAAAATTGAATAGTTAATAAAGTATCTACATCCTGCTGATTGGTTTAGGACTGTTTAGAAACAGTTGACAACTGGGACATACAATTGATAACTCCATCTGTCCATGGATATCCCCAAGTTTGCTCCCATGAGATCAACGTCTTTCGACAATTGGGCAATAAAGAATGCCCTTTGTGCCTATTTTGTAAAAAAGGCATCAAACATTTAATAATTTAAAATTAATATTATAATAATATTAGCTGCATTTGTTTCGAAATGTAAATGTACTGTACAACATTGCCATCTTCCATGTATCTGTAGGCAGTTAAAAAAAAAAACGTGAATCCAATGTCTGTCTGCAGGGAGAATGTGTACAGCATACTGTAAGCTTTTAAAGGTGTCCCACTACATCGCTTTCAGTGCTGCCAGGGAAAAAGAACCAGACTTCCACAAGCTCTCAGTGACGAAAGAAGCCTCCGAGGCCCACAAGAGCAGAGCTAATTAACAGGACAACGTCAATTTGTGTCAAATTTAATTGGAAGAGTTGTGCTGAATTTAATTGGCAGATGTTTCAACTTCTAACCTTTCCCCTGATCCTCAGCAGGAAAGCGTGGTTTTGTTTCTTTTTTCTCTTAATTCCCCATATTAACCTAAAAGCAGCAATTCTTCTGGGAAGGTTTACTGTACATACAGTAGATCAAATGCACATCCTTATACAGTACATTACTCTATATAGCTCATATATATTAATTTCCTTTTCTTATAGCTAAATCTGTGTACAATTCATTACCAAATAAACCATTAAATATTAGAAATTATTACTTTTTAGTTCAAAATTATTTCACAAAGCTAACACTAGGCCAGTTTTCTGCTTCATGTTGAGCTGATTGAAGTGGATCTAAGCCTTGCACCTGGAGGAGTTTAACTGAAATATTTGCTTCATAAGAGCTTTTTTAAAGACTTTGTAAAAGCTTTAGTTACAAGTAGTAATCACCATCGCAGATTATAGGTTTCTGGGTTTCATAACTGCACTTATTTAGATCTATGGAATTTAGAAGGTATTTCAGGGCCACTGATTAGTGCACTTATATTACAGGGCTCAGTCTGCATGGGATGTTAAGTCTGTAGGTTACATGTCTGACCTCAGACAACACTGGAACTTATTTATATAAAAAGAGTCACTCAGAAAATCAAGATAAAAAGCCTTGCCCAAGAATCCAACAGTGAAGTCCACAGTGTGGGCTTGAACTTGTAATACATTCAGAGCTTCAACAAGCAACTCTATTTTGCACCCAAATGTGCATAGAACTTCATTAATGTTAAAAATTGCACATGTTCTATATGAAAAAAAATAATGTCTTTGAAGCTGCCTTCATAGCAGCTGCAGCCTCAGGATGTAAAATTGGAATTCCAAGATAACTGAAGATTGATGTTAGTTAATTGTTCTCTTGTTAGATACACTGAATTAGTTTGATTAAAAGACACTGTTACCGTTAAATTGCTTTTTTATTTGGCTTCAATAATGGTTGCATTTTTTTCTTTCAGGGGAAAACTAATACCCACCTGTCCAGACAACAGGTACTGCATAATAATGACTCCATTATGAAGAAACTATTTGTGATAGAAGTCTGCAAAGACTATTTTGCATGCAACATTTTGAAACCTTTGTTTTTATTTCTCTTTTGCATATAGCTTTTGTTTAGGTTTAGGTTTTGCCTTCTCTGGACTTTTATGGTTGAATGAGGTTAAACTGAAGCCACCTTATCCCCACACTCAGAAATCACACTCCTCCTTCAATATACAATACCTATGTATACACCCAGGACTTCTGCATGCTCTGCAGCTTTGTCAACAAGCTTATTTAAAGGTCAAATGGAGATAGAGCTATATGCACCACACATAGATCAAATTATTTTGTAAGTACTGTAAAAAGCTAACATTGTCTCAGTGTATGTTTCTATTACCTATCTAATAAATGCCCCAATAAGACTCTCTACATTTGAAGTATCGGAATATTTTGCAGACATATTTGTCCTCAAGGATTGCCATACATAACACCTTCCCTACCCTTTGAACTGCATAGCCTCTTTTTTACATTTTCGAAAAACTGCAAATTAGACATTACCCAGTGATTCTTGTGTTACTGTTGCATATAATATGTGAAAACATATGAAAATATATGAAAAAATTCTAGTATGGATGTGCATTGAAGAAAATGCATTTTCTGTTTTTCTGTGTGAAAATCAAGAGAGTGTTATAAGTTCAGTGATAATTCAGGATACAACCCATATCCTTCAGTATTACAAAAGAAAACAACAGCAAAGAGAAAATTGGTCACAAGCTGATGGAGTTTTTCTCTCTACTGTGCTTCAGTCACTATCCCATATGTGTAATGAAACGACCCATCCACCTAAATATTTGATTGAAATGTCTAATGACATAGTTCCACTGAGTTGAAGTTAATTCTAGCTGACCTGTAAAGGCAAAAGTCTTCAAAATAGCATGCATATGTACAAATTGGCAGGCAATTCATGCTCTTTATAAATATGGAAATGTAACATTTGCAGGTGGCTGGGCAGGGGCACTCTGGACACTAAGTATGTGGGTTATGTTGGTAATGAAAAAATGGTTTTACACTCAGCATGTGTGTTGGACTTTTAAAAGTTTTGAGTAGGTTTGAGTCACAAGTCTTCTAACTTTCTTTTCTTTTTATTCTTAAGAGGAACAAAGATGCCTACCTCTCCCTTTTTTGACATGTTCAAGATATCCTGCCTGCAACTGCAGTTTAGTCCCATGAAAATTCAACGTTATGAAAGAATCAGCAGTTTCAGCCCCTCCAAGCTAAATATGTTTTCCAAATCAGAGAGACTCCTTATATCTTTGTCGTGTCAGGATATTTAGACAGTTTCCAGTGGATGAGAGTTGACTATCCAGCTAATCTGTCACAGACATTATTTATGTAATTTGTAAAAAATATTCTGAATTTGCCTGACCAAGGATGTTATTTTTCATTTTAACCAGCTTTTTGTAGACTGTGATTATGCACAGACAAGTACATGCACTGAGAAGAACTAATAGTCGAAAAGCCTTTTTTTTAGACCTCAAACAATGTTGTTTACCTTTGTTAAGCATTGCATTTGTAGGCAAAAGGTGAAAATAGTAGACAAACAGGATTCAGAATAGCCTCTGATGGCTGCCTGAAGAAATCAATACTAACCCCAAGCTCAAGAACATCCCTGGGACACGGTGCTTTTACATTCTCGCAGCTTTCTGAAATTGTGATGTTGGTTTTTAAGATCTCTTTCTCAAGGAATCCTGAAGGAAACAAAAAAACAAGTGTCTCAAACCTGTCAATAATGCGCTTTATCTTACATTTTGAAGAAAAAAAGAATAAGCTTGGCTTGTGAACTGCAAAATGGTAACTCAATATCTCTTGTGGAATGTGCTTGGCCTCTCAATAGCATAACCAGAGACCCTGAACTCTTAATATGATTGCCAATCATAAACCTCTAACAGACCTCTAAAAAACAAACCTTTCTACTCTTCTTTTGTAGATCACCCTTGCCAACAAAAAGTTTAAAATCATGACAATATAGTTTAAAAGCTGTGAAGATCAGGTTATATTTATTTTACTACTTAATGGCTGATAAAGATTACACTTAGTGGTCTACAGCTTAGTGTGCCAGTGCTAATTCTTATTGAAAATGGTCTGTTCTGGACATGCATGGATGTCCAGGACAGGCCATGCTTCAGTCATGAGGTGGTGTTTTCTGGGACATCTGCAGCTCCTTTCTTTCTCCAAACTTTACCTTTCCATCACTTTGATAAAGGTTATTCTAGGTCTGATCTACAGACCTAATATATAGAACAGACGTAATGTTTTGCAACCATTTTGTACTGTACCTCCAAGCACATTCTGTAGAATGGTGGAAATAGTCAGAGTCGGGGCATTCATGGTGACTGTAGAATGGGATCACTGGCTCACATTTATAAAAAAGTAATCCCTTTTCCATTTAGACAGTGCTATGCATTTCGGGATGTGGCAGCAAATCACCTGCACACCGACACATTCAATGTAATGAAAATGACAACAACATTGACCACTGCAGTAAAGCCGTGTGTACACCTGTTTATTGTTTCACAATATTTAAGACAAACAATATCTGAAAGAATCTAATCCCTGACATTTGGATTGCAGAGGCATTATAAATGAATTATGCTTTTCCTGGTTCAGATCAATACATTTCCAATACTTTTTTTCCAGTTTGATACTGTTAAAAACACGAGACTGCAAAAAAAAAAAAGATGTACAGTAGCATATTTTCACAGGATTCTACACCAACCAGTTGTGAGGCATGTTGGGTGGGCCTGTCTGGAAATTAAAACCTTATATGAAGCAGTATCTGTGCTAGGTGGCAAATAGGGTGGAGCACAGGGCAATGAAAGTGAATAGAGACCCTCCAGTGAACCATGTGTGGCTGACTGCTGATTACAGGAAGACAATGGCTGGGAGTGTCCACAGAGGAGTCACAGACAGAGCAACCCATTCCTCAATGGAAGCTGAAGAGGCATAACACATCTGGACAGTCTCTTCTTCTCAGCTTGAATGCTTTTATTGTAATATTTATCTGCTTGTAACAGAAGGGTTTGGATATTTAAATCCTAAATATTTCTGCCCAGGAGAATACCAAGTATTTTTTTTCCCTTTTCAACTGGAAACATAAATGTTCAATTTAGTTTTTCTTTGTTAAAACCAGCTATTGATTTTCTCTAAACAGCCTTGTTTAAAAAACAAATGGGATGAAGACTCAGCTTTCACAAAAAAACTTTTTAAAGAGTTTTAAGAATTAACTGGATTCAGACAATGTTTTTAGCTGCATAAATATAAAAATGGGAGATAGTGGGAGCAAGGTTTAAAATAGAAGACCTCATTATAATTTAATTTTGGAAGATCAGTCAAACTGTAAAGATCTTAAAACATTTTTCTAATAACTCTATACACATATTACCACAGCAAAAACATTATTGTCTTCATTGTTAAAACTTTACGTACTGTATATTCATACATAAATATTTTTACATACAGTATGTAGTATCAAAAACAGTTACTCTGGTATTGCGAAAAAATCCCTAGCTTTAATCTTTCATATTGAACTTAAATTGAAAATAATATTTATTTAATATTAGTATTAGCATGAGTTTGAAAGAAAAACTCCCATATCCATGCAATAAATACTGTAGGCACCTACAGTACATTACTCTTCAAAATCTCCAGGTACTGCTGATTCCAGTTACAACTCTACCCAAACCAGTCATATTAATATTTTAAAAAATGTTTTAATTTAAGTTAAGTAGACTAATAAATGTTTGATATTGTTATTTTTTACAAAATAGAACAAATCATAAAATATGATTAAAGAACATTGTATGGTGCTTTACTACTGCCTGTTGAATTTCAATCAGCTATGATTCAGAATTATAACTGATCAGCAAAGCAAGTAATGAGCCACTTTGAATTTACAATCTATGCATAAAGTTAGAATAGATTAATCCATTCCAACTTTTGTGCATAGATTGTAAATTATGTCCATCATAAATCTGACCAAAATTAAAAGACATTGATGAGAGAATGCAACTGTGAATTAGTCGCAGAAACACACTCTACTGTATCGTACTTTGATATAAATAATGTCACCATCCACTCCTTTGCAAAACAACCTATTGTACTTAAAAACTAAATCAAATCTCATGTTGCCACCCATTAAATAAAGACAAAACAATAAAATGGTAAAATGGTACCCTTCTCCGTGTAAATAAATATCACACTTACTTACTAACATGCTTGTTGTGTTTTTGTATTTGTTGTTTGCTCTCAGGTTTGCTATCAGTCCATACGTTTTGCAGAATTCTTCTCTTTTTGAGGTGACTGTCCTGTGAAATGTTTAATACTAGCAGCCAATAAACTGCATCAGACAATGTCACAATCAACATGTGTGTTACTTTTCTAAGTAGTGTACAGTATCTGGGTACAATATCTGGTCACAGCTTGGATGTACAGTACTAAGTCAGTTCTCACTTATTCTTTCTGTTCATATTTAACTCAAGCTACTAAACCTCCTCAGTTACATAAACTATAACATGTGCATCATCCTTCAGGGTTTACCGATTCTTATCTTGTTGGCTTCGCTTCATTCAAAACATTTGTGTACCACCATGTTCACCTGGACACCAGTTGCATCAATTGTTTGGCAAAATAAGGCTCCTGCTCTAATAATGACCGCCATCTTCTGAAAATCTTCAATTCTTCATAGGTACCACACTTTCCATAGGTTTAGTGTGTTGCTTTAAAGCCTGCAGTCACGACACTTTGAAACAGCAAGTACTACCTGTTATATGCACAATGCAATCCATACTGTACATCCAAGCCGCAAAGAACACAATGACATAAGTAAATACAGTAGATAAGCAGTATGAAAGAAAAATGGAAAAGCCATGATTGCTTTTGTAGTATTCAGAACCTGTGCTGTGGCAACCCTAAATTAGTTCAGGTGCGCAAAATTAAGAAGCAGCACAATTAGCTGAGTGAACTCTATAAGGACCCGTGGTAAGCAAGCACAAAAGTCAACCATGAAGGCTAAGGAATTTCAGACCAACTCAAGGAAAAATCTGTAGAAGGTCAGAAACCAAGAAAAGGATACAAATACAGTATTTTAAGCTGTAATGTATTTGCACATCTAAGCTGAAGGAAGATGACTGCTTTTCTAATTGATTTCATTGGTGGGATCTAGATCTTATATAACAGAGATAACAGAACACTTCAGCTGGAAACATAACGTCAAAAACATTCAGTTAAATTGACGGTGGGGGAGGTTATTATTTGAACATGTGCAACCATTTAGGAAAGATATTCATTTTTATTTTCAAAGATTTACTTTGTTCATATCACAGTTATGGCTTCCTTTTAGGATCCATGCATTCTAATGAGGATGTTGTAACAGGGTGTGAGACACTCCTTACTTGAGCCCCTGTGGCCCATACAATAATACAATATTAAAATCTAATATAAATACCGTATAAGTACATCTATATACAAGTTAAATGAAGAAACTGAAAGAGTTTATCCAGCAGAATGAGTTTTATAACAACATTTGATCTGACTCAATTTTGTAATATAATTCCTAGACACTGCAATTTACAAAACTAGGCAGATAAAAGTCTCCGAATAAAAGTTGAACTGTAGATAAGAGCAAATTACCACTCGTCCTAAACTTCCCTTTGGACCCAAAATCCAGCACTGAGTGTAAAAAATATTTGGGAATGCTAACCCTAACCCTAGCTGCGGCTTCAACAGAGCAAACCTGCCATCTGTCTCTGAAGCCCTCCAGTCATCAGATTTCAAAATGTGCTGAAAAAATTTAAAGTATAAGTCAAAAAGAATCAAAAATAATCGACACAAGCACATTGAAATTGATGGTCTTCAATTATGCATCCCATTTAGGGAAATTTTCAATCAGCTGAAAAATGCAGTGAAAATGGTATTTAAATGATAGGGCATTTCAGACCCGTACAGGGTTTGGGTTACAAAAACAATTATATGTTGACTCCAGTTACACTGTACATCTAGTTGCACATTAAAAGGTAAAATTAAGAGAGTTTATCCAGTAGAACAGGTTTTCATCTGACTCAGTTTTGAAAAACAATTGCCAAACACTGCAGTTTACAATATAAGTGGCCAAAAGTCTCCAAACAAAAAAGTTGCGGATAGGGGCAAATTACCACTCGTCCTAAACTTCCCTTGGGAGCCAAAATCCAGCACTGAGCATAACAAATGTCTATCTAGTGTGAGTATGTTAACCATAACCCTAGCTGTGGTTTCAACAGAGCAATCTTGCCATCTGTCTCTCCACTCATCAGATTTAAAAATGATCCTCAGACCAAAAAGGATGAGTCTAAAACAATAAAAAACACAATGAAAAATGGTGTTGGAAATTGACGGTACTCAATAATGTGTGTCCAGCTGAAAAGTGCTATAAAAAGGGCTTTGAAATGAGTGGGCATTTCAGGCCACTGTAGGGTTTGGCTTACAAGAACCACTAAATGTTGACTCCAGTAATATACATCTATTTGCAAGTTAAATGATGAAACTAAGAGAGTTTAAGCTGAATGAGTTTTATAACAACTTTTGATCTGACTCAGTTTTGTAATATAATTCCCAGACACTGCAATTTTACAAAACAGACAGCTAAAAGTCTCAGAATAAAAGTTGTAGATAGAAGCAAATTTCCACTCATTCTTAACTTCCCCTGGGACCCAAAATCCAGCACTGAGCATAAAAAATGTCTAACTAATATTAACCCTAACCCTAGCTGGGGTTTCAACAAAGCAATCCTGCCATCTGTCTCTGAAGTCCACTCATCAGATTTGAAAATGATCCTCAAACCAAAAAGTATGAGTCTAAAACAGTAAATACCATTTAAAAAA